ACATTAGGGGTTTAGGGTTTAGGAGTTTAGGGGTGTAGGATTTAGGGTTTAGGGGTTTAGGGTTTAAGGGTTTAAGGGTTTGGGACTTTAGGGGTTTGGGGTTTAGGATTTAGGGTGCCCCCTCCCTACTAGGTAGCACATTGACATCATTTTTGCCCTAGCCTCAAGCTCGACGGCACACACGCCCTACACCCCCGTCTCAAAACCGTGCACCCTTCCCGCCCCCTTTTCCAAGAAAAAGAGAAAGCATGTAATCAATATGGCCTTAAACCCTGCCCCCCCCCCCGCCCAAACTGTAATGGTGGAGCCGTGCTGTATATAAGCACTCCACCTCAGACCTTACACCCTAACCCTGCAAGTCCCAGCCGCAAACCTTCCGCCCTGACACCGGGGCCGGCATGTTTCCCAATATCTTTGTTAGAGCTATTGTATAGTATACCCAATGACCCATTCCAATTATTCAGGCCGCGATATAAAGACCTTATAATAACTATAGAAGTTATAAAAGCCTTGAATGCAAGGAACCTTTCTGAAGGAACATTGTTCTAATCATTAAACCCCCTATGTTGCTTGCAGAGGCCGTTGCAGACTCCTCTGCCAGCTCTTCAAGGCCGACAGACAGACATGAAATCTTTGCTTCGGCTTCTTCCAGTAGAGTTTACAGTTTACTGTTCCATAGGGCTTTTACGGTTTAGGGTGCAGGGCTTTATATCCGTATTATCCATTGCAGTTCGGTGTTGATCAGCAGTTTTTGCTATATCATTGTTTCTCAACCTTCCGGACTATAGGTAGGGTTTTGGGTGTAGGAGTTTGTAGGGTCTAGGGTTTATGAATAATTTGGGTCTAAAGCTATGTGTTATGAGGGCTTCATAAGGTTCTTGAGAAGCTTGATGGAGGTGCCCTAAGGGTAATCTCAAGCTGTTCATATTATTGAGGGGCATCCGGGCACTTTAGCCATGTATTTCTTGTTCATCTTGTACGGCGTTAGGACTCTTCTTTCCGGTTGTATCATGTCTATGTTTTGTGCGGCTTATGGTCAACATGCTTAGGAAGTATATGACTGCCTTGTTCTGTTAGGTCAAGGCCCCGGCCACGGTCGGCAGATAGTTCCTGGAATTAGGGCTTAGTATAGGGGCCGACGTATTGAATTGCCTATCCTTTGGGAGGGGGTCGTTGTACAATGCGCCCCGCAACCATATTCTAAGTATTAAGGCCCCTGTAACAGGGTGTTCGCTACGGCTTGCAGGCTTCTGGTTTCTCTGGGTTTCTGGTATTGGTGCACGCAGCGCCTATGGAGGCTTCCGGGAACTACTACTTCAGCAAGCCCTAAACCCTGGGGTTTAGGGTTTGGGGTGTAGGGTTTAGGGTTTATTAGGTTGAAACTCCACTCCCTTAAACCAAAAGACGTGATACGGAGACAAAAAAACCCCAAAGAACCCTCAGGAGGCTCGAAACCCTAAACCCTATAGATCCCTTTAAGGAGCCCTTTAAGGAACCATACTTACTAAGTCCCAACCATCGAGCGGGCCTTTCCAGGACACACCAAAAACCGATCGGGCTGAGGTTTTCTAAAGGTAGCTACTTAGGGTTTGCAGGGGTCCCTATATAGGCACTTTCAGGCCTAAGTATGTACTATATGGGCACATGGAGCCTTAGGTTTTGGGGTTTAGGGATCGGGCATTTCACGACCTTCTCTGACAACAGAAGCACTTTGAGCCACAAACGAAAGAAGACGAACCCTGGAGCAAAAGAGAGGCTGAGGAGCAGAACGGGGAAACTCGGCAACTACACATCGACACATCGCAGTCTAACCAATAAGGCGCCTCAAGCCTATAACCTCATCCCTAAACCTCCCTAACCCTAAGGGTCCAAAGGACCCATTAATCAGGTACTTAGGTTTCGGATAGTAGTTATGTAGGTTAGCATCTTGGGAGAGCATATGATTATTAGGTGCTCGGACCCTTAGGGCTAAGCACCCTGAAGCCTTCAAGAATAGCCTGAAGCCTTCCCTTCAGGCGGATGCGCGACTTGTTAGAGGGTGCGGACGAGGCGCTAAGGGTTGAGCAGTTTAGGCTTTAGGGTTTCAAGCAAGGGGCTTAAGGGGTCAGCGTCCAGGGTTCAAGGGCTTTGGGTATAGGGTTTAGTGTTTGGGCAAAGAAACTAGACGCGCAGCTTGGAAACACTTACTTTGAGGAATATATGATTATTGGGTACCTGGAGCCTTGGAGGGGAGACTTCATGCATACACAGCCCCATATCGCAAGACCTAGGGTGCACGACAAGAAGTTAATGCTTCTGGGGTCGTTTAGGGTTTAGGTCTTCAGGTTTATAACTTACAACTGCTGATAAGACATAAACCTACCGAGCAAGATTGCTGTTTTCCTTGCTATGAAGTACTTCGGTAGTTCAGCTGCCATCCAGGTGGCCTGCGAAACCACAGAACGGGTGGCCGCCGTGCATGAACCCCGTCATTCTAGGAACCTTCCAGGAACTGTTACTGGAAGACAGAACGCCAGAGTTCAGGTGAGGTTCAGGTAAGTCAGTCTGCGACCGCTTCCAGGGGAAGCTTTGGACAAAAAACCCTACAATCACTTCGACGAAAGCTGTGTCATTGTTTCGTTGCTACGTTGTGAAAGCATCGGTGTTCTTTCGGGACTTAGCAACGTCAACATTTTCGTACGTCTTACATCCCCTAAAAACCCTAAACCCTGACTTGCCTGTCAAAGAACCCTTTGCTTTGTGGTTTCCGTGTTCCAAGCTTAAACCATGAAGCTTTCAATGCAATTGGGGGAGCAGGGTTACGGTTCAGGCTTAATCGGGTGGGTGCATGGGGTGCTGGGGTAGGGTTTGGGGTCTTCGGGTGGAGCGTTTCGGACATTTCAGAACTTTGTTTGATGCGGAAGAAAAAAGGTTCGCTACTTATGAGACTATAGACAAACCCCGCCCACATGCAAATCCAAAGCCCGCACGGTAAAGACCCAGAGCAGAGCCTGAACCTTGAGCCCTGCATCTTACAACAAACAAATCCGAACGACGCTCCCTAAATGAAGCGATGGAATAGAATCAAGGGCCGCAACAGGTGGGATTAAGGTAGGTGGTGCAATCCCAAGATGAGAGTCCTTATATAGGGGATCCTTAATCCTACCTACCTTCATCCCACCTTTTGAAGCCTTCGATAGAAGAACCACCAGACCCCCCTGAACCCCGAAGACGACCTCCCGGTAAGCACACCCTCGCCAAAATGGCAGACGCTCGACATCCCAGCTCCCCAACCCTGAATCCGTAATCCGGCAACCGGCCACAAACCCTTAAACCCTTAAACCCCTAAACCCTAAACCCCGAAACCCTTAAACCCTCAAACCTCTAACCCTTAGACCCCTAAACCCCTGAACCCTAAACCCTTAAACCCTTAAACCCCTAAACCCATAAGCTCTGAAACCCGAAACCCTTAAACCCCTAAACCCATAAGCCCTGAAACCCTTAAACAACAGAAGTGCTTAAAGGATCATGGGACTTAGTAATTGGGGTTATAAGTAACTACAGTTCTAAGTACTTATAACCCCAATTAAGGTATTTATAACCCTACTTACTAAATCCCATGATCCTCCAAGTGAGACAACCTGAGGACTTCCTTGCAACCACCTGTGTCGACCCAATGGAGTCATCTGACTGGCCCGGCTCTGATTTGGGAGTTTCCGGGGGTACCTTACTTTTTGGGGTCCTTATAATAAGGATCCTACTATTTCGGGCACCATGTTAGGGTCCCCTATTTTTGGAAAGTTTAGGGTTAGGGACCCCGCACCCTCAACCCTAAAGCTCTGGGTTTTAGAGTGGTGTAGGGTCAGGAGGTTTAGGCGTTTAGCGTTTTGGTTTAGCTGTTGGAGGTTCAGAATTTAGGGCTTTGTAAACATCGGTGTCAATGGTGTTAAGGTTAGGGTTTGGTTGAGGACAGTTTAGGGTGTAGGCCTATTGAAACTCGGGCCACAAGAGTTTCCACTATAAGGGCCCAGGGCTCCTTCAACGGTTCAAATGGATGCAGGGTTTAGAGATCAGAGTCTATGAATGGTCGGGATTTGAGTGTTTTTACAGCGGGAACCTGAGACTCTGGGGGGTGTAGGTTTGGGGCTTTAGGAATTTAGGTCTTGAGCGCTCCGGGCTTGAGGGATGTAGGTTTTGAGGCTATAGGGGTTTATTGATTGCGCAGGGCTCTATTAGGTCGAGGCCGAGGGTTCTAGAAAACGACGTTGCCGGGCTGCAAAGTCGAAACGGGCAGAAGATAAAGGGGTTGGTGCATGTGTACGGGGGGTCGCGAAGCTCATGTTATTGTCTTCGTCTCCGATAAATCGATACTGCAATGCCTGAGGAGCAACCGATAGCATGTTTAAGATTTTTTGAGAACAGGATCGGCATAACACAGGCTGCACAACTGGGGCAGGCCCTTCAAAAGACGTCGTAAACTCTTGTGTGTGTGTGTGCGCGTGTGTGTGTGTGTGCCAGCTTGAAACCGTAGTTGGATGCAGGTTGAAATCCTTCGCACCCTGAAACGACACGAAACCGAAATTCAAAACCCTAAGTAGGCCCGATACCGGAACCCTGAGCCTTGAGCGCAAGACCCTAAAGCCCAACCGGGTTCAGCAGGAGTTGTCGATGTGTTTGTTGGCTCAGAGCGGTCGGCATATCACGCCGAGTTTGATGGAAACCTCTGGGATGAAACCCTTCCAAGAGTTCCCAAGTAGTAGTCATCCTAACCTGAAAGGGTTTAGGGCTTCAGGTCTGGGTGCCCTGTGTATCTTTTGCTTTTTCGGTTATGACTTCGTTTCGAGCCAGGCTTGTTGCATACTTTGCTGTGGAGCAACAGAAAGCAGCACTTCGTTTGGAAAAGAAGCTTTTTGGGTGTCCGCCTCAGCCTAAGAGCTTTGCTATGATAAATCCCCGTTGCACTCAGATACCGCAAGTTCAGGTACACCAGGGCGGCTTAGGGCGTAGAAGCTGCGGAAGTCATGTCTGCGCTTGCGACTGAGCTGCGGCTTCAGCAGCTGGAGGCCAGCTGTGGGGTGGGGACTGAAGTTCTTCGCACCTTTACTAGTGCCATTAAAATATTTGTGATTGTTTGTCAGTGCCGTTAAACCTGCTGGTGTCACTAAGGCTATTGTAGCTGTTGCGCTTTATCCCCCGGTTCACGTTAGAAGTTAAGGTCCAGACTTAGAGGGATTGGAAGTTCAAAGAGTACTTAAAGGCTCATGGGACTTAGTAAGTAAGGTTATATGTAGGTTATAGTTATGATAACCCCACTTAGGGGACTTATAACCCCGATTATAACCCCGATCATAATTACTAAGTCCCATGATCCTTTAAGTAGAACATCGGACACTCCATGCGTAGCAGTGGCAGCCTCGCCCGGATGCTCACTGAAAGCCTTGACCTGAGTCCCCAGGTGATGTCCCCAGTAGGTTTAGGCATTTCGGTTTAGGGCCGGGGATGTAGGGGTGTAGGGTTCAGGGGTTTAATATAGGGCTTTCATAATTATCTAGTGAAGAGCTGCTGCCTTTTGTGGATACTAAAGGCGCCAAAGGAAATCCCTATCCTATTTTGGTGGTTCCTTAGTATAAGTATAGGTATAACTGTATGTTCTACCCCCAAACCCTGTTCTAATTATTCCGGTCTCTATGTTAGGCCACAACATCTGGTCCAGGCAAACCGCCGCAAGCGCTAAGATCCCTTCGGACAATGGTCTTGGGCAGGGCCACTGTTCCTTTTTGGTGGTTTCTTCTATCGTCGGTTCCGATTTGGTCACAGTGCCGTGCGCCGACACAGGCCCCGTGTTTCAAGAATGCAACAGACCATTCGGGACCTAAGCGGACAGACAAGTCGGTTCCGATAAGTTGCCGTGATTTCGGCCCCTTCGAACCCTGAACCGGAAACCTCTAAAATCGAGAAGCTTCAACTCATGTCAACTCCCAAACCACGAAGCTCACAACCCAATCAAAGCGTCAAGCGAGCCCTTAACCTTCAAACCTTCTTAGATCTTTGACACATCTCTTCACGCCCCTAAAGGAATTTGTGAAGGACCCTAAACCCTAAACCCTGAACCCTAAACCCAAAGCCTTAAACGAACAACCCTAAACCCTCATCAAAACGCTTAGCCGTCAACTACAAGGCCTTCCACTCAGACCGCCAACCCCCGTGAGGCCCGCTTGGGCCAAGTGGAGGAGGCCGGGTGGGGAGGGTTTAGGGTTTAGGGTTTGCATTAGTGTTTAAGGGTTTAGCGTTTTGGGTTTAGAGTTTAGGGTTTGCATCAGGATTTGGGGGGGAGGGTTTTGACCACAAGTACCGCACCGCCACTCGTGGCACCAGTGCTCCTGCTGCGGCAGCAGCAACAGCATCTACTAATGCTGCGATTGCTACGATGATTGCTGCTGTTGTGTGGCCATGCGAGAAGAGCATGAAGCATCCTGGTTGTGCAAGCATGATCCCGTCTTCTCGGTTGCACAGAGTCTCTAGACTCTAGACTTGAAGTTTGTTCAATAACGTCTTCTGAAGCCGCCCATCACTCCTAGGCGTTGAGATCCATCCAGCAGACAGGGGCCAATGGTGACAGTGGTTCCAGGGAAGGCGAGGAGTTTCCGATGTGTGTGAGGGAGTGGGACGGAGGCATAAGGGCGTGATCTAAACAACAAACGCATGATTCCTCCCATAGTTCCGTGAATCTTGCGAAGTGGTTAAGCTAGGGCTAAACCGAGTGTGTGATGAAGGTAGGTGGAGTTGGTGAATCCCAAGTAGGAGCCATCATTTAAAGATGTTGACAGCCCCTTCATCCTGCGTAGCTTCATCTCGCATATTCCCCGAAGGGTCCATGTACCCAAATAGTATATAATTTGGGCCCAATGTACCATATATAGGAAGTACTTTATTTGAGGCCAAAGTATATGCTATTTGGGTGCATGGACCCTTAGGGTTCGGGCCGTGAGGATACAGCTTACTACAGCATCGACTCAGTTTTATGAGGCTCGAGATTTAGCTATAAAGGTGGTTAAGCTTTAGGGTGGGGGGTCCCCAGTAGCACACGGTGTGACAAGAACTAAGTCGCAAGCGCATTGTCTAAAGCTGGAAAGGCATCCTACTTCTTGAGCCCTCAGCCCTGAAATCCTAAACCCAAAACCCAAAACCCTGAACCCCAAGCCCTCAGCCCTGAAATCCAAAACTCCTTAAGTTTAACTTTGTTATACCCTCAGCGCCCTGAGGCCGCAATCCCTGGGCCTTAAACCCGCAAACGTGAAACCCTTGAAGCCCAAATCGTCAAGCCCCAGGGGTGGTTGTCAAAATTAAGGTCCCTTTTTGGGTATCCTAAATTTTAGGTGCCGTACTATAATAATGAGCCGAAACGGGACCCTAATTGTGACAACCACCCCCAGATTAAGCTAATATTCAACCCTTAAGCCCTAAACCCAAGACCCAAAACCCCAAAGCCCTGAAGTCCTGAAGCACTGAACCCTGAACCCCCTTAAGGATGGAAGCACTAAACAAAACCTCTCAAAAGCCCTAAACCCTAAACCCTAAGCCCACAGAAGCCACCAAGAACCGTCCACAGAAGACCCGCTCCGGCGCCTCCAAACTCTTCAGAAGAACCTAGAAGATGCACCTTGGCTCAAGGGTTTAGGGTTCAGGGTTTCGGGTTTAGGGTTTAGGGTTCAGAGTTTAGGGCTTAGGGTTTAGGGTTTAGGGCTTAGGGTTTAGGGTTTAGGGTTTCGGTTATGGGCTTAGGGTTTAGGGTTAAGGGGTTTGGGCTAGACCTCTAGAAACCCTTAAGCTCTGAGAGCCTGAACCGTCATGACTAAATCCCTAAAGCCCTAAAGCCAAATCCTAAGCCTTTAACTCGTAACCCTTAAAATGCATCCGACATGCATGTAAGTTGACACTCGGCCCTTGTTGTGCAACTATCGGCGGCTGTTGCTCATAGTGTCCGATCTGTTTCAAAGTTTTCTTCAGCAAGACCTGACTATAGTGCGACAATGGGCGGAACCGGTATTTCCCGTCCAATACCTATAATGCATGTTTCAGTATGTTGTAGCACGTGATACCATGTTTCGCTATGTTATGTCTAGTACCTATACTGTATGTCACCTGTAGTCTACTGTTTCAGTACGTATTAGACAGGATGAGACTAGGTTATGCTTTCGTTGTTTTACGCTATCTAGGTTGTACAATATATATATATATATATATTATACATAAAAACTTTCACATGTACATACATATGCATGCAGACACTTATATACCCATATCTGCCTATCGACCGGGGCTGGCCGGCATGGCTGCATGCCTGCCTACTGCCTAAATACACCCAGTCATACATTAACCCTACGTAGGGCCCTAAGGTTCCGAAGGACCCAATAATTACCTAGAGGCCCATACCCTACTCCTTTGTTAGGGCGCCTACTTTTTGAGAAAACCGATCTTAACCATAAAACTAGGTATCTTCAAAAAGGGGCAGGGTATGAGCCTCTAGGTAGGATAGTGTAGGACAGTGTAGGATAGTAGTTATGCAGGCTCTTACTTTGGAGAGTATATGATAATTAGGTACGTCGACCCTTCGCGTATTGCTTTTTGACAGTCGTTCATTCATCCATTGGTTCATCCCTTCAGTCCTTCATGGTTTCCATTATCATTTTCATTTCATTCCATTCCATGCATTTATTACTTACGCCCTTTATCATGTCATCATTTGTTCGTTCATTTCTTCATTCATTACTTCATCTATTCAGTCCTTCACTTCTTTAAACTTGATCCTTCGTCCGTACCTACCTACCTACCTACTTACCTAGCTGCCTTGACTGCCCACTTGACGACCTCCCTGCATAACCACGTACAGGTAGACATGCAATTATACATACATAAGTGCGTACATACATACATAAATACACAGAAACCTACTTCATGCACCGCCCCCACCATACTACGCCTTCACCACAGATCTGGTCACTAAACTCCTGCTTCAAGCACGCCGAGAATTCTTGGATCGAACACGCTTGTTCGCTATCTACCGCAGGATGTGCTTAAACGTCTACCCAAAGGGCCCAAAGTAGTTCCTTTTTGGTATTACCTTATAAGATTGTATATATGAACCCCAAATTTAAAAAGGAACTACTTTGGGGCCTGTGGGTAAGGCCCGAAAGGCCCTGCATGTGATCCGCATAACTTTTGTCTCAGACTGCGGTGCCGCCCCAGGGTTACAGCGTCTCCTCCAGCGAGCTGATCCAAACACAGTCGGAACGCTTCGAGGAGGCTGTTCAACCGGAAATAGCATGCCTTAGGGTGCCAGCCACCTTCAGAATGGGATACTTGAAGTAGAGCAGCATTTTATCATTTTGTCCGACAGAAGCTAGTGTTCGGAACCATCGAGGTGCTGCAATTCGTTGGGTGTTATGGCTGCGGGGCTAGTGAGATTGAAGGAGGATGAAGGTATTCTTAGACCAAGGCTACTGATGATGGTGGCTCTTCCTTTTATCTGCGTATGCAGTGGCGCATGTAGTGACTGATATCTTAAGTGCTGCTTATTGCTCACCTCTCTGTCAGTACTCGGACAAAGCTTCTGTCGCTGTTTTCGCGGTTCTCATACATGTCCTCATCCGGAGTTAGCGCGCAGGTTGAAACTGTATCTCAACGCATGGTATTCAGAACTTGGAAATGAGTTTAGTGCGAGAGGCTTGATGCTTGTAACCGATAAACCCAAGATTCACAGGCCGTGTCAACCACAGCGTTTCAGCTCTGATGTATCAGGCTCTCTTCACATCGAACGGAGATGAGATACGCGATGGCTCCTTGCCAGCAATCCCCGGAGTTCGACTTCAATCTCACAACAAACTTAATCCGGGAATACAAGAACCTTATACACCAAAACCCTAGCGGGTTTTATGCAGGTGTACCTTACCTTTGATATTACGTTTCAACTACCTGACTTGTAATGCTGCTTGTAAGTATGTGTTTGCATGAGCCTTCAAGGTGAGCGCCGCCCAGCTAACTCTGCAAAACATCAGGTTACAGCCAGAGCTCTTGTCGATTTTCTCCTGCTTTTGTAGTTTTGCTCTGTGCTTTAAACCATAAACTGAAAACCGTAGCTTTGGCGACCACTATGCAGTGCTTTTTGTCTCTTCGCGTCGGTTGCACCTTTAGCTGCCTCACCCCTGCCAGGAATTACGACCAAAGGGCCGTGCTACGAGCTTCAGCACTCCGTCTGGGCAGCATGGCTTTGTTCTGCCCAAGGGGTTGGGCTTTGTGGAGGTCCCTCGATTTGTCTGCGCCAACGGCGGTCAATCGCGAATCTTTTTCAAGGGCTTTAAAAGCATCTCCTAGTATAGGGCACCCCAACAGCCCCAGCCCCGGCCGTGCGAATTCTCACAATAATTATAGTATAGTGGTGCCTAAAACCCAATTCTAATTATTAATACCCCTGTATTCTTGTACCCCTTTAGACCCCGTATAGTAACCCTTACATAGAGTCCTTTAAAGGGAACCCTATTCTAATCAGCCCTGCTTGGAGGGGCAGGGGACTTAGTATGTAGGTTATAAGTAGAGTTCTAAGTACCCTAAATGAAGTTACCCCAATTATAACCCTACTTATAACCTACTTACTAAGTCCCCTGCTCCTCCAAATAGACCCTAAACCCTGAACCCCATAGATTCCTTTAAGGAACCCTATAGATCCCTTTAAGGAGCCCTTTAGGAACCTTTAAACCCAGACTTGAGGATGCCTGTCTCTTCATCGGCCTACCAACCTTGAGCAAATGGGACTCGGCGCTGGCTGGATTTCTGCTGCTGTTGCAACTAGGCATGACCCGGGTTTATAGGATTTTTGGTTTATGGTTAGTCCCCCAATCCACAGGAATCCCCAAACCCTGACTAAGAAGTAAACAAGAATGTTTGGGTATCCTTGCTTAGCCACTTCCATTCAGCAGGCTTTCCCCAAAATCGGTATCCTTCTGCAAAGGCTTGCATTTAGGGCTCTATAGAAGTAGAGCTGGGCCTTATGGTACTTGACCGTTGAACTTTACTTACTAAGATGGGGTTTCAGGTGTAGGTTTCGGAAAGTTGACTTGGAAATCTGGCACAGCTGTCGAAGGTTTCAAGTTGGGGTTCTTGTGGTTCGTACCAAAATTTTCTTCGGTAGGGCGTCTCATGCTTCTGGTAGATACGGCCGAACGGTTCAAGCATTAGGAGTCATTTTCTCTCCAAAACTAAAGTAGGTGCAGCACATGTCGTTACACCCAACTCCAGTTGGCTAATGTGCATTTCCGAAGAGGAACCGTATACACCGATGCAGTAGTTTCTGCTCGCTGAGCTTCTCGCCATGCTCTATTTTGGAATTTGGTATGCTGCTTAAGCTTGAAGTTACATGTAACTCTATACCGTAAATGTCTTGTTCTTCCTAGTCTTGCGGCGCAGGAGTAGCGACAGCAAAGGTAATATGGGGGCCAGACTAATTAGACTAGGGTTTCGGGGTTACTACACTATAACTGCAATGATGAGCCCCCGAAACCCTATCTTTTAGAAGGGGCCCCACCCTGTAACAGTGGTATAGTAGGAATATAATAGGGCCCTAATATAATCCTTACAGTCACTATTACAGGGTGGGGGCAGCTTCTAACTTATCTTAATTGTTAAGGCCCCTACGCCAAGCTTTCTGGGCCGAGGAACATCTTCACTCAGATCGGCTTCGTGGTCGCCTGCATGCTTCAGTAGCTGAGTAGCTAACCTCTGACCTTTTGGTGTTTATTTTCAGAGCTTCCTTCTGGGCATAGATAAGGCTACTATAAGGGTTTAGGGGTAACCTTGAGCCTTTTGGGGTTTGATATAGTCCTGCCAGATTTATTTGGAAAGGTTGACCATTTTGGGGCTAGGAGTAACAAGCCCCTAAGTTGCAGAGAGGCTGTTGAGCTACGATTTGGAATTTGGATTTAGGGTTTAGGATGGTTTAGGTTAAAGTTTGAGGTTCCGGGTTCAGGGGTGTTTGTAGTTTATCTTTGTTGAGGCTGATGACAGCCTGGCATTGACTGTTGGGTCCTGCATCTGAAAGTGCTTGCAGTACTTAAAGGATCAGGGGACTTAGTAAGTAGGGGTATAAGTACCTTAATTGGGGTTATAAGTAATTATAACTGTAGTTACCTTACTTATAACCCCAAATACTAAGTCCCATGATCCTTTAAGTAGTGGCTGTGAGGATACCTGGATTCTCTCAGTTTCTCGACTACCTTAGGAGTCACACCGCCTGAAGCCCATCGCCTAGCTGTAAGCCCAGAACCAATCCTTCCTTAGTTCTTACAGTCCGCGCACAGCGCACATTCCAATCAGCAATCTTGGGGAGTTCCTTGGCATGACCGGGTTTCTGGCAGCGTCGACATGTCCCTCGGTCGAAAATTAGTGCAAGCTAACAACCCCGAGGCCTAATTTAAGTCGTGTTCTCAGGAGAGATCCCCTAAGGAGCGAAACCCCACAACTCTGTGAACCCTAAGCCGGCAACCCTGTTGGGCATACTGAGTTGGTCGTCCGTCACCACATGCTGGAGGACCGCTCTACTTCATGGTTTAGGGCACTCTGAACCCGACCGACTTTTCCATTCTCAAATAACCTAAAAGGTTTACATAGTAATTGTAAGTCATGTATCTAGGGTGCAACCAAGGGGGCTATGTGTTGGACTAGGGCTCAGGGTTGGGGGGCTGAAAGAGTGCGTTGTTGGATTGTAGCAGGCTTCGCTCGACATACCAGACGCCTTGTTCTGGGTGAGTAGGTGTTGAGTCTGTTTGTCCTTAACAAAAAGTTGTTGCTATTGCTTTGTTTTTCTGGAGTCACCTTAAGTTGTAGGCACTAAGTGAGTGGGGAAACAGTATGATGTACAAAGGGCTGAGAACCCTCAATCCCACACCCTCAACTCTCGACCCTAAACCACACACGCAGCGCAGTACTACAAAGCTCCGAAGTGGGAGTTTCAGAAAACCAGGAACCCAAAGTAGAAGCCCCCATCAGATGATCAAGCGGACCCCATAAGAAAAGGGCCCCATCAGAAAACAAGTGTGATGCCTTGTGGTACCCTTATATAGTATCCGAGCAGAACCTTATGGTACGGAATTGTGAGCTCATGGTTTCCTGCTCGTATCCTTACTTGTGTACCCCCCAAACCCCTAAGCCCTAAACCCTCAACCCCTAAACCCCTAATCCCTCTAACCCTGAACCTTACCTTCTAGTATCCTTACTTGTGGACCCCCGTTTAAATCCAGGGATCTCCGAAGTGTCAGGACATTCTACAGCCAGATCAGCTAACGCAGCTCCTCCGATTCCGGACCTGGGGGTTTCCAAAAATGGGGGGACCCTAACTAGGACCCAGAGTAGGCCCTTATTCCCTTTTTTAGGGTTCAGGTTCCCTTATATAATTCCCTTTAAACCAAAAAGGGCACCCTTTTGATTCCTAGGTTACTCTTAGGTCTAGCTAATGTAGTACCTTACATGGTCGGATCCTCATGATGAGGACCCCAAAATGAGGACCTCTTATTTTCAGAAACTCCCATATTCCCTGACATACCGGTTCATGTTCTGACAGGATTACTTCAACGTTTATAGGGATTTGGAGTGTTTTTTTATGGTGGTTGACAAAAACAAAGATGTTGATAAAAGAGTTCGGCTTCGAGCAGTTATGCCACGGTGTTATTGGATTTTACTAGTTAGAATATGAAGGCCTTATAATGATTGGCATACGGTACTTCGTGTCATCGTACTGGTATGCGTGACCCGTAGTAGTAACTATTCAAGCTTCTTTGACACCAGGCTGAAACATTTTATAACGTTTGGGTGGTCGGCCTCCTTCCACTGCTACCTAGACTCTAGACGCTCAATGCATCAACCAGTGCTTTGGGCTTCAGCTCTCAGAATTGCTCTGCCTATGCCCGAGAACGGGGGAAAGCGTAAAGCGAGCGAGGATCGCGCAGAGTCCGGGAGTTGCGTCTCCAGGTTGGAACGTCCACTTGCATGTTGAGCACAGTACAGCGCAGCGAGTTGTGGACAGCGGTAGCAACAGCTTTAATCAATGTGGTTTCAAGGGCAGCGGCCAAGGACACCCTGCAGAGGAACTGTCCAAGAGCAACTGCAACAGGGTACTACCTACAGTCTCCATTGTAGTTCCTGTTTGTGGTTAACCAAAATCTCTATTATAGGATCCTAACCATAAAACTGGCTAACCAACCAAAGGAACTACAATGGAGACTATAGGTAACATCGCGTCGATGGAGGCTTGGGTGCAGCCCCTGGTCGACTGGGGAGACCTTGAGCAATTCCTTAAACCTCCATGGCATACCTGTGGCTTTAATTCTGAGCACAACGAAAGAAGTAGAACTCCCTAAACCTCATGTCTTGGCTTGAATGATTGCTAGTACTGTTCCACAGCTTCCATAAACTCTATCCCTACAAGCCCTGTTCGTTCTAGCGTTTTAGCCTCTGCGGCTCCGATGGATTTCCCTGACGGAGTTCGTTCAGCCGAGCTTGGTGTATTAGGGTTTCTGTGCTTTAAGGTTTAGGCTTTAGGGTTGTTGATGTTTAAGGTTTAGGATTTGGAGTTTTTGTTTTTGTCGTTTGATGTTTAGGGTTTGGGGTTTTCTCGTGGTTTCAAGCAAGGTTCAGGGTATAGGCAAAGCCAACCGCCCACTTCGCGGCTACCAAAGTCTCGAGGCCGCGGATGCAAGGAAGATCCGTTTCCGCTCTAGCCACACCGCTGGACGGAATTGCAGCCGGTGTGGAGCAACAGTTGAGTTTGGCTAAGGTTGCCTCGCGCGGCCCAAGCCTAAACCAAAAGACTGAAGCCCAAAGCCCACTATAGCTATAACCTGAATCCCCATAACCTACAAAATAGTAGGTTATGACCCCTTGATTAGAGGGTCTAACCCTTAAAACGGTAGGTTTTTGGATCCACAGGTATAACCTGAATCCCCAAAACCTTACTCACCTTCAGCCCTCCATCCGACTGAACCCTCCTCAGCGTGCGCCTAGCACTCGGAACCTTGAAGCCCAAACCGGGATGGAGGCTTAATTACCCATGGGCTCCATAGTAGTTCCTTTTTGGGATTACCTTATAGGATTCTAAATAAAAGGCTAATAATAACAGTAGTAATAAGAATAATAATAGTAATAAGAATATTAATCAAAGGCTACTCTGGAGTGACACTATGTCCCGAGATTTTATGCATTACAAGTACTCCCCAAACACTACACGTCAAAAAGGTTCTAGATATGTTGCAGGACGAACGTGGCCCACGATGTGAAATATGCCGACCTTGTCGGAGGCATTGCGATGCTAAAGCATAATAACAGGTTGGGCTACTGGCCCTAGTTTTCAGCCGGTAGTGACAACTTGATGCTAACATGGGAACCTGACACTCCGATAGATGCCCCCGTAAAAGACAATACAAACATACTATATATATATATATACAGAGAGTATATTGTATACACATATTTTCTATCAACGAAGCCTCTTGTTGTATTAGCCTAAGCGAGACTTCTTGGCGCGACCCTAGAACATCCAAGGGTCTGGGTGTAAGGTCCACACAGGCATAAGGATCAGGCTGCAGACGGCGGTCTAAGGGAGAGTGTAGGAGGTACCGGGACTCCTCCGGGATCGTAGAAGGATTGTTATGGGAGGGATCCAGTAGGTGGTGTTCGAAGAGACGCAACAATAATTATGAGTGCAAGTAGCCTTGTGCAGGTGCATAGACGTAGCACCACCTCCTTGGAAGGCCAACCAAAACCATGAATCCGACTACGACTCTAGGCTGTGCTTTCGCTCTTGAGCCCGACATTGGCAGGTCGCTCCATGGCCAGGCAAGTCTGCAGCCAGGCACTCCACGTCCTGACCGTACGGGCCTTCATAATGAGAACCTCTTACACCCACCTATAGGGGCCTTTATCTTGAGAATCGGTTCTGGGGTGTAGTAAATTAAAAATGACGAGAAGTCCTCAGGCACCCTATTCTAGTGATTCTAGTGTTGAAGGTTCTTATATGAGCCGCGCAAAGTAGCCCGAAAGAGCATATGTGTCAATATGTAGAAGAAGAGCCCTCTTGGCACTTCCGCTGCTGCATGTTCCGGGCAACGGTTAATTACAGTCTGATGTAGCTTAGCTCCGGTGACATTTCTTCCTCAAAATATATAATTGGCCGGAAGCACATGTACTTGCGTACTTTCAGCTTTAATGCCGATGGACCCTCCGCAGTTTATGCCAAATCCTTACGTAGTCAATGTGTTGCCTTCCCCGGTATGCGGAGTTCATAAACTAAGACGGTTTGTGATGCAAGCTTTCTCCTTCAAGAATCAGAACATCACGGTTGCAGGTCGAGTCTTCATGTTGGGATTCGGGTTGCCTCCGTCTTCGTCACAGCAATGCCAAAGTTCGGGAAGACTATGCTCCCAATGAACGTGCATTAGGCCCCTGTGGTGGTTAGTCCTCAGGCTCAAGACTCCGCAAACATCTTACAACGTACGGTCGTTGTGACGAAGAAGCGTCGTACACGTACGAGATCATACGACTCGAAATGATGTTAGTATATTGCCTTACAGTGCCGATAATTGTACTACACCACGAAACTGAATTCCAATCAGTAAGGCCCGACATTAGGTTAGCGCTCAGCCGAGCCTGATGCTGGCAGGATGAATCCCTTCAGTGGGCCAATGCCCAAACAGGAGCACCTGGGCAAGTCCAACCTGGGACCCCCAAAAAGCGTTGATTGTTGAGGTTTTATCGGTCGTGTCAAATGAAATCACAATAAGGAATCCTTAAAAAAAGGCGTTATTTCGGTTTCGGGCAGGGTTTACGAGCTCAGGCCTTGTAAAGGGTTTGTGTTTCAAAGGCTTTGTGGATCTTTTCAACTTGCGGATGTCCACACACAGGGTCGGTTCTACCTGAGTTTTCACGAGATGGTTTCACATTATGGTATTATGTAGCAAGGTGGTACTGACGTCTGCGCCGTGTTAGGAACCTCTACATTCTGTCTAGGTGCATGCCATGGAAGAATGTTCCCTGTGGCATTTGCGCCTGAGCGTCTCCTCACTTCTGGCTACCAGAGGGCTGTCGCCAGGACTGGGGCAGTCAACTGGACGAGCATACCATACGGGCCTAAAGAACTACCGACATTGGTTTGGGGGTTCCTTACTATCATTATAGTTAGTATACTGGGCCCCAAAACCCTATTCTAATTATTAAGGCCCCTAAGTTATGTGCTGGTGGCAGTCATGCTCGGTTCGGGAACAATAGCAGCGTTCAAAGAGCCACTTGAGAACCCCCTGCCAGCCCTGCCAGGCAGAATTTAAGCATCCCTTCAAGGGTGGGTCCCTTGGGTTCATAGAATGCTTTGCATGATCCCACGTGAAAGCAGACCAAGGCCGGCATGCCAATCAGAGCTTCCTTTCAAATTCCTTTCACTGCGCATGCCCATGATGTGGTGCACCGAGGTGATTTCAGACCTGAACGACTACATCTCTGTCGGGCCTATGCCACCCGAATTACGAAGACAGCATCGCTGACAAAGACAGTATCCCCACAGAATATCCCCCTCATCAACACCGCCACCACCACTACCACCACCACCACCACCGCCACCACCACCACCACCACCACCGCCACCACCGCCACCACCGCCACCACCGTCACCACCGTCACCACCGTCACCGCCGTCACCGCCGTCACCGCCGTCACCACCGTCACCACCGTCACCACCACCACCGCCAACAACACAGCCACCAGTGCCACCACCACACAGCCACTGCCAGCACCACTGCCAATAGCGCCAAATGCAGCATCTTCCATCATCATCGCCACCACCACTATCAACATCATCATCATCACCATCATTGTTATCATATGCTCATCTTCATCTTCATCATCACCATCACCGTCAAAGTCATCGTCGTCGTCATCGTCACCATGACCACCATCGTCCTCATCGTCATGTTCGTCATCAGCATCACCATCATCATTATCACCATCGTCATCGTCGTCATCATCACCATCACCATCAGCAGCATCCACAACATCCCCTTCGTCATCGTCGTCATGATCATCGTGTCGTCATATTCGTCATCCTTGCCAGCGTCATATTTATCTCCAACTTCAACCAGCCCAGTGTCAACTGCGGCTGCACTGCTAATTACTACTACTGCTGCTGCTGCTGCTACTACTACTACTACTCCTGCTACTACTACTACTACTACTACTACTACTACTACTACTACTACTACTACTACTACTACTACTAAACTACGACTACAACACGCATCATTTCAATGGCTGTTATTGAGTATAATGCGTTGATTTGCGAATGGCATCGCGAGGCCGAGCATATAGAGCTATTGCATCATGCGTCCGAAGTCTTTTTTGATAACTAAGACTGTGCGAGGGGTTGGGGTTTGCAAATCTACTTCAAGTTGCACGTAACAGAGGTGGTTCTGAGAACAGCAAGTTCGCAAATCGCCGGGCAGAAGCCTTTCAACACAGGATGCCCAGATTCAAACCCTGCGCCTGGAACTAAGCTTTAGTCCTGGCCCAACCTTGGTGCTTAGAGTTTAGCTTTCAGGGTTCAGGGTCAAGTTTACAAATGCATGGCTCTCACACATATTCGTACCAAGATTGGCGCTGCTGGCTATCGGCTGCTGGCTGTCCACGACCCTTCGGGACACCCGTTTTGGGGATGGGGTGCACAGTGGGAAGTCCGAAGCTAGGCTGCTGCAGCCCGAAGCCGTGACGATGAACCCGTCCTCAACTCAAAACAGCCGATCCCTGGCTGGCCGAGGTTATCGACATCTAACGAAGATGATTGACTGCACGTTCTAAGGTAAGCTTGCCAGTGCTTATGTGGTTCTGTTTTCTCTCGACTCGACTACTTCCCTATTGCTAGAAGTGGATACCGTTATTCCGAGAGTTGCTGAAGCAACTGCAACTCCCGCACATCCCAGACATTTGTCCTTCCAACCTGAGACCCCATCTACATAAACACACTTACATGTGTATGCATATATGCATATACATACATGCATACATACATACATATACATACATACATATATATATATATATATATACATATACATATATATATATATATATGTGTACACATACACACATACACACATACAGATACATACATATATATATATATATATATACATACATACATACATGCGTATGTATAATATACGATACATGTTAATATCCACATAATTATGTGTATGCGTGCAAAACACATATACACGCGCATGTATGTATGCATGCATACGTACATACCTATATATATATATATATATATATATATATATATATAAGTCTTGGGAGACGGTGTGCCAAAACCTGCACGCGGTTAGAAAAAAGAAGAGCGCGGTTAAGATGCCGTGTTTCAACATGGTTAAGAAATCATTCCTGTGTAAATGATATTTTGTATAGTTGCATATATATATATACATATACACATGTGTGTGTATATACACATACGTACATGTGTTTCTTTCTCTCTCTCTCTCTCTCCCTCGCTCTCTCTTTGCATGTCTCTCGCTTGTATTCTTCGTCTTTCTCTCTCGCTCTCTACCTCTTCAACCTGTTAGGGACAACACTGACAACACCACTCTGTTCCTACTGTCCGCACCTAGACCCCAATCTCAGCACGTAATTCCCGGGTCTTAACGCGAGCACCAGCTGTCTGTCAGCACATCAATTAGTGCCCATCAAAAAGATGCGCTTGCAGGAGTTATTCAACATCACGGGCTTCGTCAGTGCCATCCGCAGATACCCAATAGGCTGCCCCGGGCAGAGAAAACGATCAGTAGAATCCTGAACATTGGGTAGCAGCGGCACTGGCCAGAATATAGAGGTCTGATTGCGTAATTAACCGTCTCCTCGTATAGTGTTTCTATGAACATCGTAGAACATACAGCAAGATCCCAATTTCCTTTCTGAAGGCCGCTATACAGGTTGGCCACAACTCTTAAAGGGGTGGCCAATGGCTAGTTAGGCTTGGCTGAGTACTTCAAGGATCATGGGACTTAGTAACTGGGGTTAGAAGTAAGTAAGGCAACTACAGCCATAATCGCGCAAAGCCCCAACTAAAGCATATGTGACTTAAATTACTTATATGACCCATGGTCCTCCCTGTAAGGTCTCGTGAGTCCTTCTGCACATACAACCGGCGTGCCCTCAACTGTCGCTCTTCCTGCACACGCCCTGGGGCCTCGTCTTGAGCTGTGTTATATGGATAGTTGTCAAACTTAAGGTCCCTTTCTGCATGGGTACCCTAAATATTTGGTGCCGTACTATATGAGAAGGGACCCCCAAAGGGACCATCATTTTGACAACCACCCATGTAGATGTCGGAATAATTACCGATTCTATTCGTTAAGGCTCCAAATTGTTATTGTCATAGTATAATAAAATCCCAAACCGACCCAACGCCCATTCTATTTATACGGCCCCTACGTTAGACAACGAGATTCCTCCGGCACGTTTCGTTCCTGAAGCCCCACATGAATTACTGTAGAGGCCTTATTACCTTAGACAGGGGCTCCTTATTATGACTATAGTATAGTATACCCCAAAACCCTATTGTAATTACTAAGGCCCCTTATGTTAGTTCGTAATGCAGGCGAGAGCACCTTGATGGCTGCCGGGGATGATGGCGACAGCGGCGACGTACCTTGGCAGCATAGTCGGGGTTAGTGTAGCCCTTGTAAAGTCTAGGATGTAGGGTTGTTCGGTGTATAGTATAGTGTACAATATAGGGGCCTTAGTAATTAGAATAGGGTTTTGGGGCCCATTATACTCTAATTACAATAATAATAAAGAACCCCCCAAATAGTATTGATAATTATTTAGGCCCATGTAGTAGTTTAGCTTGCAGGGATTGGGGCAGAGGATTCTCGGGTGTCGGGTGCCGTCCCATGGAAGCATTTAAGGATTCTGGTTTGTGTCGTTCTCGGTATAAAAAGCCTAGGTGCTTGTGTAGAATTGTCGCTGGGTCATGGGCAACAGCCAAAGACCTCAAAATTCAGGATGAGGTTGTACCTAAACTTTGACTTCTGAACGAACCGTGAACTACACCTGCACTCAAGGGTGAGGCGCAAGCTAAGCTAACCCCAACAGCCTCGGATTTGATTCAGCAGGGTACCAAGCAATTCTCCCGTCGAGAACATATTATTTCAAACTATATCTAAAAAGAAATCGAGTCCAAACCCTTCAAGAGTCTCGGATCCCACAAGTCCCACAAGATGTGAGACCCAAAAGCCGCAAACCCTGCCAAAGTCTTCAGACCTCTCGAGAGGTTTTGGGGACTCGCAAGAAAAGAGTTCAAAACAAGTCTAACGAAAGCTAGCTTTGAACCCCATGCGCCAGCACCCGCCGAGGTTGTCATCACACAGATGTCACCATTTCGGACCCTGGGTCGCGACTTCAGCCTCCTGCGCACACATTCCGACTATAATGTGGGGGCTTAAATACTTCACCAGTCACCAATACTATTTTGGGGGGTTCCTTATTATACATATAGTATAATGGGCCCCCAAAACCCTATTCTACCTATTAAGACCCCTAGATTAAATGCGAATCGGCAGCTCCATTTGCAAACAGCGCTGTAGCCCAAGTGAACATGACAGGGCAGTGAACAATCCTTGTACGCATGATGGAGGCAAATCCTTCGATAGTAGTGCTCGGTGTCGTCGTAGTATGCACAGGTGGCGGCGGCAGTAGAAGAAGTATAATAGTCGTTGTTACCACATATACGTAGAAGCAGAACCAACCGCAGCAGGACTCGTCGTCGTCATAATCGTCAGTAGTGGTAGGACAGTAGCAGCAAAGCAGTGGCATTGGCAGCGGTCATAATTAGTTGTCGTTGTCTTTGTCGTTGCCGCGGTCTTCGTCGTCGTAGTGGTAGCAGAAATTGTGTTAGTTTTGTAGTTTGCATCGTCGTCGTCGTCGGTACCGTCGTGTCTTCGTTCGTACTTCTAGTCGTCACAGTATCAGTGCCACTCGCGCTATAGGAGCACAGTCGCTGCATTGCGTCTTCTGCTAGGATGTTTTCTTTCCGTTTCGGTTTGGGTTAGGAAGTGGGTGCTCTTCTTCTTTGTCGCCTTGCCGCGCTTGGTGGTGGCTGTGTCTCTGGCGATTACAGGCAACTCAAACCTGCATGTTCAGAGTTCGTACGGTCGGGCAGGGTGTTCTACTGGAATATAGGGGCCTTAATAATTTGAATAGGGTTTTGTGGTATATTATACCATAAATACAATAAGGAACCCCCCAAAAAATAGTACAGGTAATTATTAAGGCCCCTATAGTAGAGCTTTTCAGTGCCTGGGTTTAGGGTCTCGCGCCTTTTCCTGAGAACTTGGCATCGTGAGACAAAGATCCCTGCACTTCAGACTAATGCCCGCGAGTCTCATTGTGTACTAAACCTGACGGTGTGTGCCGATTTCTTAGTATTAGTTAGCCTTGGCTGGGTCGACTTCGCGCGACCCGTGTCTCATGTTGCACAATCCCTCAACCATAGGCCCTAGGCCCCATCAGCTTCGGTAGCCTGGCCTCAAATGTCAAGCCGGACAACACTAAACCCTACACCTATTCGCCACATGTTCCAACCATAAATCCACAAACATCACGCCTCAGAGTCTTGGCCTTCATATTGCATGTCTTCTTCTGAGCCCCAAGACTTCAACTCAAAGCCTTATACGCGCCTTAGACTGTGCTCTTCAACCCTACCTAGTGGCCGAAGTACCCATGGGCTCCATAGTAGTTCCTTTTTGGGATTACCTTATAGGATTCTAAATATGAACCCCCAAAAAGCCCAAAAAGGAGCTACTTTGGAGCCTCTGGGTAGCTACATGCTGAGGGTTTCCGTACATCGTACAGTAGTTTCATTTGCATTCCAACGAGCAGGTAAGTTGTGGCTGCTACATTGAAGTACAGCCACCTAAACCTAACCCCTACTCGTAATTACCCCTAGACCCTTGTAAACCCCAGGGCACTAAACCCGAACCCCCTACACCCCAAACCCTAAACCCGCCAACCCCAGAATCCCAGGCACGCGCTACCTCGCAAACACTCTGAGCCTCGCAGATTTGACTCTCGCTTTGAAGCTGGGGGTGGTAAGGCCTTCTAAGGTTCCTTTTAAGTTCCCCTTAATTAAAATTACCTTGAGAATTCTTTAACATAGGGTGCCCCCCAGCACGATCTGTATGGGATGCTAATTGCAAAGGAATATAAGGCTTAGTACAGGGTTACTGTAGAGGCTCCGGTAAGGGTTTGTCGGGGCTTGTGGTTTAGGATCTAGGGGTTTAGGGCTTTAGGCCCAGTTTTTGTTGATGGGCTTGGGGTGTTGGGGCTCAGCTGCCGTGCCGTTTTTGGATGCAAGAGTTCAAGGATTTAGTCTTAGTGGGAGGAAATTTCAGGCCTAGCCAGACCTCCATGGATTCGTTGTATACATACACTGCGGACTAAAGAAACCACGTTTCGGGACTCTGGCTTCAACGTTCACAGTTTCTGGGAGTCTGTAGAGGCTCTGTGGGTTTGGGGTTTCGAAATTCCTTTTTGGATGTGGAGCATCCAAACTCCTTAATCGCCCTATTTCGTTTCCCATGCTCTCGAGAGCCTGGAGGCACAGCTAAGACACACGCAGGCATATGAGCATATCGTGCAACTATACATATATATATATATATATATACATACATATACACACATACGCACTTAATTAGGTATGTACCCGTCTACCTACCTATCTATCTGCTTGATAAATACATAGATAGCCCGTAGTTTTGCAGCTTGACGGTGCTGAAGTTTTAACGATGCAAAATCCAGAGTCTCACAGTGCGAGGATCCTCAATGCGGTGGCCCTGGCATTCATCCTGGACGGGGGCCTGACATTGGTGCAGTGTAGGTGTGTTGAGGGTTTTTGTGTTTAGGGGTTTATGGGTTAGGGGTCAGGATTACTGTAGTTGCGCTTAACCCCTAATTTACTGCAGAAGCCTCTGCTGTACGCTTTGTCCTGAGGCCCGGTGGCAGCAGATTCAACGTGGCGCCAGAATAGCTACCAACATTACTTTGGGGGTTCCTAATTATATTTAGAGTAGAATGGGCCGCAAACCCCTATTCTAAACATTCATGCCCCTATGTTCTGATAGAAACTTCGTGAAGAAGTTGTGAAGACTTTCGGCGAGGTTTGCAGAGTTGAGATTTGCACAACAAGGTCTAAATTTGTCTCTCAACCCCAAATCCTGACCCTGCCACTGAACCTTCAACCCTATAAACCCCAAAGCATCGTTTCATCCAAACTCAGATCCTACTCCCTCAAGACCTGGGCCCCTTAACCGATGCATTATATACCCCAAACTTCAAAGTGTCAGGAAATGATAATCCCGAAAAGCCTATGTAAATTGCTGCTATCAAACACTGTCACTTGTGGTTTGGGATTTAGGGTTTATAGGCCTAAGCCTTGAACTCCGAACCAAAAGTCACAGTAGATGATAAACGCCACAATAAAGCGACTCAAGCAAAGAGAAGCTCGATATCCCTTAAGTAAGGAGTATTCCTTAAAGTCATACAAGGGATCCTACTACAACTTGAGGTATGTTCCTTAATTAAGGGATATTGGTGGAGTCTCCTAAACCCTAAACCCTATAGATCCCTTACAGGAACCCTTAACGGAACCCTTATATATGGATCCCTTTAAATATTGGAGTCCCCGGACAAAGAGGACCTTGATGAGCTGGTGGAGTCGGCCTTTATGCCAAGAAGGTGCCAAGTTGCCTCGCCTTAAACCCTTCTAGGAATCCTTGGAGGAACCCCCCAAAGAAAGCCAACTTGGAGGGTCGGGGACTTAGGAAGTAGTTCTTTTCTAGACTGAACATCATAAACCCGGATAAGGATCCCGTTTAGGGTACTTACAACTCTGCCAAATTACTACTTACTAAGTCCCCCCACCCTCCAAGTAAGCCCGGGCGCCCCCAAACCCTCAAACCCTACTCCCCTGAGCCCCTAAAGCCCTGAACCGGAACCCCTAGACTTTAAACCCTAAACCCCCTAAACCCCTAAACCCCCAAAGCCCTCAACCCCTCAACCCCTCAACCCCTAAACCCTAAACCCCTAAACCCCACAGCCCCAAAAGGAAGCCTAAGCCAGGGCGCGCTTCCTGCTGGACGCCTTGGGGACGCTGCCTATTGCCCGCCTGGAGATCCCAGGCTTCGGGTCTCGTCTTTTTAGGGGTTTAGGGATTTAGGGATTTAGGGTTTCGGGGTTAGGGGTTTAGGGGTTTGGGGTTTAGGGGTTTAGGGGTTTAGGGGTTTGGGGGTGTGGGGGTTAGGGGTTTAGGGGTTTGGGGGTGTGGGGTTTAGGGGGTTAGGGGTTTCGGGGTTTAGGGTTTAGGGGTTTAGGGGTGTGGTGTTTAGGGGTTTAGGGGTTTAGGGGTTTGGGGGTTTAGGGGTTTAGGGGTCTAGGGGTTGTGGGGTTGAGGGGTTTGGGGGTTTAGGGCTTTTAGGGTTTTAGGGTAGGGTTCCGGGGTCTTAGGGTCTTGACATCCTTTAAAACGGGGATCTATACCATACAGTTCCTTTAGGGGGTCTATAGGTTTCAGGGTATTGGGTCTTAGGATGTCTTAGAGCTCTAGGGTGTTAGGGTTTTGGGTTCCTTGATGGGGTTCTTAAGGGTTGTATAAGAGTTTTAGGGTTTTGGGTGTTTAGGTGGTTCAGGGTTTTGGGGGCATAGGGTTTTAGGGGTTTTGGGTTTCGGGTCTAGGGCATGTAGGACTTCAGGGTGGGTCTATAGGGTCTTACAGGGGTCTTACGGGCTCTATAGGAGCTTGAGGGTGCTACTTCTAAGGTTCTGGGGCTGTCTTAGGGTTCTAGGGCTTAGGGTTTTAGGCTTTGGGTTTCGACTTTTGGGCCTTAGGGTTTCGTGTTTCAGGGTTTAGGATTCCAGGGTTGTAAAAGGGCTTACTATGGGGCTTAACTAAGTAAATAAGTACCTATACTATTGTAGGGGGGGGTCCTTATTATGAGTACAGTACAGTATACACCAAAACCCCATTCTAATTTTTCAGGTCCGGCAGGAGGATGCAGGGCTTTTCTCCCACAAGTGGTTTTTTCCCTGCATCTGTCGGCTTCAATGTATGCATGCATTCACAGTTGTGTCCTATAGCACCTTAGGGCTGAAGTTTGTTGGGTCTTTCCGGCGGTCCACAGTTGTCATCCGGAGGGTTCTTTGTCCTCTGTGCTCCAGGTTTACTAGAAAGGTTTATGGTGCAGGGATACCATGCGGGTCTACGGCTCCTCTGAGGGTTGTACCAGGATTACGATAAGGGTCCCGCGAAATCTTGCTAATATTATGGATTACTATTGCAGGGGTGCTTTTGACTCGAAGGGTTCTGCACGGTTGTTGGGTGAAGGGTTTGGGGTGTCGGATTTCGGTTTTGGTATTTGGGGTTTGGGTCCCGTCTTTCATATCGTCTTCGTTCGAGCCGAACTCGATGCTTGTGGGCTTGTGGTGTCAAAGGCGTCAGCCCTAAACCCTACCTTAACCCGGAATAACCCACCTTTTTAAGGATTTGCAAAAGGAAATCATAATAAGGAACCCTAAAACGGTAGGATATTCAGGGTGAAGGTAAAGCCTAAACCCTAACTAAACCGAGTCCGGGCTCCAGGGCTTCGCCTGGAGCCCGGACTCGCAACATGTGAGGTTGGTAAAGCTAGCTTTGTTGGGTTGAGGGTTTAAATTTAAGGGTCCAAGTACCTAATAGTCATATACTTTCCCAAATACTAAGCCACATAGCTACTCTCCTAAAACCGAGTACCTAAGTATTGGGTCCTTTGGACCCTTAGGGTAAGGGTTGCGGTTTTGGGGTTGAGGGTTCAGGGTGTTGGGAAGTGCCTGATGGCGCGACCTAGCCCCGAACGCCTGAACCCAAGACCACGCCACCTCAACCCCAAACCTTAATGCCTCAAAGGCCCACAAGCAAGAACCTTGACCAATGTAGGAGTAACGATTTCAAGGGTTTGAGGTTTTGGGGTTAGGGGTTTGTGGATGAATGGTGACAGGTCTGAAGTTAATTATCGGTTTCAGGGTTTGGCATAGGTTCAGTGTTTAGCAGTTTAGCACATCCATGTGAAAATGTGTCCCTAGACCCTCGGGCCCTGCAATGCTTCGCCAGAGGTATTGGCCACATGCGCGGTGGTTTCCAGGACGACTGCCAGTGTTGAAAGTTTGAGGTTTCAGGCTCCAGGGTCAAGTGTTTAGGGTGTAGGGTTCGGGGACCAAGCACAAGCATCCAAGGGTTCAATTAGGTTTCAGGCACAAGGCATCGTGGACCTAAAGCCGAAAATCCAGAACGATTCGTATCCCTAAAACATAGTAAATAGTATATGCAATGGCCCCTGTCAGGTACTTCTCCGTCCACTTGCTGCAAATCCTAAATCACGCACACTGCACACCCTACCTGCCAAACCCTACACCCATAGAGCGTAAACCCGAGCCAACCAAGACCCAGACGCTTGAGCCTGAAGTTGCATGTGCGACCATTGGGCCCAAAGCTCAAGCCGTAATCGAGTTTGCTTAGGGCCTAGGGTGTAAGTTTAGGGTATTCAGACAGAGTCATAGATTTGTTTCAGAGTGATAGGGACTACTTCAAGGCCAAAGTATACTCTGTTTGGGTACATGGACCCTTAGGCTAGTTCAACCGCCCCGAAAAAAATTCAGAAGCTACCCTAAGGATCCATAGTATATAGTTCCTTTTTAAGGTTCCCCAAAAAGGAACTACTTTGGAGCCTCTGGGTAAAGCCCAGCCTCAACTAGCGACCTTCCTCCCAGGAGCGGATGAAGAATCTGCTGCCACTGGCCTTTCTATCTGCCTTACGTGGGAATATGAGAGTTTCCGAACATGAGGGGTACCTTATTTTGGGGTCCTTATAATAAGGATCCTACTATTCAGGGTACTATATTAGGGTCCCCTATTTTCAGAAACTCCCATATGGTGGCCTTAATAATATGGGGTTCCTGTTAAGGGATCTTATAACAGGGTCCTAGAAGGGTTACTATAAGGGCTACTATTCGGGTTTAGTACAGCATAATGGGCCCCAGTAGCAACAGCCACAAAGTCGGAGCATTGATACCCTCATGCCCTGAAGGTATATATAAGTGGTCCTAGCACCTATCATCCTAAACCAATGTTCCAGCTTTCTGGGGTTCATTGTATGTGGCACACGGGGGTTTCGCTGAGTGTAGCCTCGCCAATGTGATGGGATTCTCGGATTTCCGGTGTGCAGCGTCATAGGGTTGGGGATTGCTGGGCTTTGGTGCAGTGCCCTAGTGCAGTTGCTTTACATCCGGATCTGGTGCAGAGGTTCGCCCGAAAGTCCTCAAGCTGGAGCGCAACTTGCGTAAACGGTAAAGTTCATCCTGTAAAGTCCAGCCGTTTTAACCGAAGTTGTAAACCTGATGACCCGGAATCACTACCATACTATAATTATAATATGTAAAACGATACTATACTTTACTATACAAACATGTGTAACCTTATTGGATACTATAATCACTAGTTCACCCTTCTTGATGAAATCTGGCGAAAGCATAGTGATCATTGTCGTCGTCGCCTAAACCCTAAACGAGTCGGAGAGCCGGAAGTCGGACCAGTAGTAGCAGTCTAGGATGCCCAGTAGTACCCTTATTCCCTTTTTGTAGTCTTAGGTTCCTTATAAAGTTACCCAATACCAAAAAGAGAGGCCTTTTTATTCTTAGGTTACTGGGTATCCTAGCAGTAGCAGTTAGTAGTACTATCAGTAGTAGCAGTAGTAGCGGCAGTTAGCAGGAGCGGAAGCAGGGGCATAGGAGCAGGAGCAGGGATAGAGTAGTAGTAGTAGTAGTAGTAGTAGTAGTAGTAGTAGTAGTAGTAGTAGTAGTAGTAGTAGTAGTAGTAGTAGTAGTCGTAGTAGTAGTAGTAGTAGTAGTTGTAGTAGTAGTAGTAGTAGTAGTAGTAGTAGTAGTAGTAGAGTAGCAGCAGTAGCAGTAGCAGCAGTTAGTAGCAGCAGTTAGTAGCAGCAGCAGTACTGCTAGCGTTTGCGCCAGGGGTAGTGGTAGTGACTGGTCGTGGTAGTGATAGTCGTCGTAGCAGCCCTGACCTTGAACACCCCAAATCGCCGCCTGTCAGGAAAGTTGCGCTTCTTCTTCTGGGTCTCGCTGTGGCCTGGTTGTGCTTGCTCCAACCACTGTACGACCGGCACTTTTGCTGCAAAGACATGCTCCGACTGTGCCTGACATACCCTCAATCACTGCTACTACTCCTACTAGTACTCACTACTCCTGCTGCTGCAAATGCTGCAAATGCTGCTGCTACTACTACTACTACTACTACTACTACTACTACTAATACTACTACTACTACTACTACTACTACTACTACTACTAGTAGTAGCCCCCCCTCCCCCTCCCAACTGCACTTGCTCCATCCGGGCTGGGCAGTGGTAGCTTCTAGACGCTCTAACTGCGACAGTTGCAGAAGACGCAAGGGCTCAGGCTCACTGTCTGTGACAGCTGCAGAAGTTGCAGAGGACCAGTTTCCTTAACTGTCACAGCCGGTGAAGTTGCAGAGGCTCATGCCCCATCTCTGCGACAACAGCTGGAGTGGCAAACTTGACATGTAAGAAGCTGCAATCCACAGGTGGTCGGATAGTACACAAACGTTGTAAATACCACGCAAAAATGCAGGTGCTGCCAAGAAGGTTTTAACACTCCTAAAACCTGAAGTGCAACATCTTCCAGACATCAAAACCAAGGATGCCGGCTGTGCGTGTGAGGGGCTCTTCAGCACCCCTAAAGCCCAGACCTCGGCGTAGGAGGGTTTGTTTTTGAGCGGTGCGTGGCGTGTGAGCGCTAGGGTGTGAAGATATTGTTCGGGGTGTCCACGAAACAGTGTCGTGATCATCCCGGAAAAAGCTTCCCCCCAACCAATTTGGATTTTTTGCCGAAAGCCCCCCGAAATCCCAAGGTCGCGTTCGCAACGTCCAAAAGTAGGTTTGGTGAAGATATACAATGATCCGACATCACGAAAGTACTGCAAATACCGAGTGAAACGGTTCTTCTGGAGATATTGTTCGGGGTGTCTGCGTAACAATGCCGTCATCATCCCTCCCTCCCCCCAACTCACCCAAAAAGCAAGTCCAAAATCAGAAGCTCGAGTTTGCAAACTGCACATGTCGATTTTGGAGTTTCATAAGATGATCCTACATGACAAAGGTGCTGCCAATATCGAGCAAAATGGATGGTGTCTTAACATGGCTAAGAGCAAGTGTAGTTGGTAGGGGGGGCCTCCGCCTCCTCCTCCTCCTCCTCTTCCTCCTCCTCCTCCTCCTACTACTACTACCACTACTAGTACGAGTACTAGTATTAGTACTAGTACTAGTACTAGTACTACTGCTACTGTCGTGGTGTTGTTCCAACGACCGAGGTCTTTCGTCGCTCCATGCCCACGTGCCGATGTTGAAAGAGCGTCATTTAAAGGAGTTTGTTTCGTGCAGTCTGGGGTCCTTCGTGTTCTATTTCTTGTGCTTCACCATTCGTTCTCAGATGTTGATGTCTGTGCGCGGGATGGAGGTATGGCTTGCATGAACTTCACTTGCAACAGCATTGCTCTCATTGTTGTTCCGCTCAGGGTGCGGCTGGCGCACAACATTCTCTGCAGCGGCAGGCTGACAGAGAAGCATCAGAGGGCAGGATAGATACTGGAAAACAAATCATAGCACCATATGTGCGAGCAGCGACTCAGGAGACCTTTGCGTTTGTGTGTCTCTCACCTTGATTAGGTTATTCGATTGCCCCAACTAAAGAGCGACCTTTTTTTGGTGGGGTAGAGGCTTGGTCATGCGGTCGCAGTTCAGCGTCTGGGGCCCTTGAGCTCTCTTCACCTGTTTCGTTGGATCTTCAATCCAAACTCCCTTAACCCGAAACCCTAAAACCCTTCAGCCTAAACCCCCTTCCTCCCTCCAAACCTGAAGCCCTGAGCAGGCAAGACTTCATCTACACCGCCGCTCGGCAACTTCCTTGAGAGGCCGCAGGATTGCCAGAAATGAGATCGGGGTACTACAAGGGCTTTGGGTCTAGGTTTAGAGTATTTAGTGCTCAAGGTTTTGGGTCTTGGGTGTGTTGGGTTAAGGGAATAAATGGGCGAAATAACGGTGTGTCAAGGGTTTCTACAAGTGCATTTAGGGGTCGTTCCAGAGGCCCCCAACAACCGTAAGACGGCTTCCTTAGAGTTCCTAGAAACATTTTTGTTTTCACTGTTATAGTACGCTGACCCCAATATCCTGAGCATTCCAGCCTAGGTAAACTCGGCTACTGGCCTGGTCGAGGCCACAACTACATTCTCGGACAACGCTTCTGGACCTGATTTGGGAGATTTCGAGAAATGACTTTGTGTTTCTATGATCCCTAGAATGGTCCTAGCATGTCCTAAGTATCTCCTAAACCCATATGGTGGTTGTCAGAATTAATTAGGGTCCCTTTTTGGGTCCCATTATAATACGGCTTATATTTAAGCCACCCAAAAAGGGTCCCCAATTTTTTGCCACTACCCATATAACCCTGATTTCAAACACCACCCTGGCTCCTAAGAGGGTCTTGGGCTTTCTGGGGGAGGGTTTCGGCTTTGGGGGCTAGAGTTCGGGATCTCACTACAAGGGTCCTCGAGCCTTACAGCAATGTTGGAGTTAGGTGATCAGCTTGTCGGACCATGATTTGGATCTCCTCAGTTCGAAGCCGAATCCCGTGTTGCTTACAACCCATACGTAGAGTAAGTAGGAGGTGGCCTACTATATGTTCCTGTTCCCAAAACAGTGCACGCTCCGAAAAGGATGCTGATGTGGCTCGACTGCCCCTATATGACTTGCATAGCTAGAGTCAAATCCTGGCTGCCTCAGTTGAGACTGCCTCGTTGTGGTCCCCTAACCTCCGAGAAACAAGAAAATTGAGACACTTAGAAGCCAGAAAGTTGCAATATCACGATCCTCATGCCCTTAAGGTGCAAAAGATATCGGGAGTCCCAGCACGAATCATCCTAAATCCACGTTCCAGCTTTCTGGCTTCACCATGAGCCTCCAAGCCTTCGTAAACCCTCAAACCTGATCTACTACTCGAAACCGAGCCCATAAACCCTTCACCCTAAACCTTAAACCCCTCAACCCTAAACCCCTACACCCTAACCCGACCTGAATGCCCAGCTCGCCGGATCTTTGGGCTTCGATTTTCAATCAATCCTAGAGCCCGGCTTATGATCTAGGGCCTACACTAAGGCTCCAGGACCCTTGTAGTGAGATCCCGAACTCTCGCCCCCAAAGCCGAAACTTTCCCCCAGAAAGCCCAAGACCCTCTTAGGAGCCTCAGGGTAGGCCCTAAACCCTAAACCGTTGGGTTTAGTTTAGGGGTGAGTGCCCCAAAGATTTTCGAAGACCTCTTGCGATCGAGGGGTTCAGGGTTCGCGAAGCCCGAAACCTGCACCCCCTTGGAGTGCCAGCTTTCTGTTCGGGGTTTAGGGTTTAGGGGTTTAGGTATAGGGTTTAGGGTTTTATGCAGCTTGGCAGGGTTTGTGCTGACTCGTACCGGTTCTTACTTTGAAGGTGGTGGCGACATCGTTATGTTTTGTTGCTTTGAAAAACCAATAAACCTTTGATCAGCGAGCAGTGGTATCTATTAAAACTCCAAGACGTACGAAGCCGAAACCTTGGATACTGCCCCGACTCACAGTTGAACAATAATCTTCATAATATAGATATCTTAGGCCCTCAATCGTGGCTCTATTATCGGCTGATACTGTATGGGGGCAGTACCCAGCCTAAAACAAGGGTGCCTTGACTGCCAACCAGAAGAGTGTGGTTCGAGTCCGAGCTGCAACTGTCATAGGGAATCTTAGGGGGGTAGGGGGCGGGGGGGGAAGGGGGCCTTTATCCCCATAAGGACTTAATACGGCCTATTTGAAGAAGTATAGTCCCCTACCTCCCTCCCCCATACCCCGCAAGGGTCCCTATGATATTGGTGTGTACTCTCGGGGTCGGATTCGGTGTAGTACTCCCTCGTAGTCCTTAGAACCCCTAAAATTGTAAACCCTAAACCGTAAATTATACTATCATACTGCAACATACCCGTTGTGCCCCAAAAGCCTCTTCTTACAGTTTAAGGTCCGCAACGTATCAGGGCTTATGGCCTGGAGTTTGAGCCGCATATCGGTTTAGGGCTTCCGGGTTGAGGGGTTGAGGGTTTAGCGTATAAGTTTAGGACTTTCGGGTGTAGGATTCAGGATCCGGGGGTTTGTGCTTGACGGTGTTTGGAGTTGTTTTTGGATTGTCGTGGTGTATGAAACAAAGCCTGTTGTGTTTCAGAGTTTCGCACAAGGACAAGGATCCATCGACAAGCCTTTCTGGACAAGTTCATGAACGGATATCTCTTGCTTGCAACCCTAAACCCTCCACCTAGACTCTAAACCCAAGCAGCAGAGAGTGCAGGGTTAGTAGAGGTCCCAGGGTCGTGTAGGACAAAAGGAAGAGGTATGACAGGCTCAAGCTGGGCAATCTTCCGATTCCCAGACCATTTGTTCAAGGGCACTGGTATGGTTATATAACCAGGTTCCTAAACCCTAAACCCCCTAAACCCCTAAAGCCGTCAGCCCTTCTCCAAGCTTCTGTCTGTACTGTCGACAATCTGGGAGTTTTCGAAAATTATGGGGACCACTAGTAGGGATCCTTCGATTTAGGGGACTAAATTAGTGTCTCTATTTTCGGAAACTCCCCTAACCCTAAACCCTTTATAGAACCATTATAGATACCGTTAAGGAGCCCTTTGAATGAACCCTAGGGCCCCCCCATTTTACGGAAACTCCCATGTTGTCTTAAAGTGGCACCTGCTCCGTCAAAGCTCTCGAGGCTTGAGCCCTAAAGCCGCCAGGTGTGCCGAATTTTAGGGTTTATATAGGGGGTTTAGGGCTTAGGGGTTTAGGGTTTCGGGGTTTGGGGTTTAAGGTCATCCGAATCTTCTGTTGAGGTCTTGGGTTCGCAAGAAGGTCATACTTCCTTTACATGTCTAGTGGTGGGATGTTTTAAAGCGGCATTATTAAAATTATGCTATATTCCTGTAGTGGATCACTGCATTCCGGCTTGAATGCAAATAGCAATGATTTTTCAAGCAGACGGACAGACGTGCATGTACAGGTTCACCACCAATCCCGACCACATACCTGGTACGAACTTACATCATGTTCCCCTTCCCAAAGCTGCTGACTGCTCAGCATACATCTTTTGGTTTAGGGTTTCGGGTTGAGGGTTTAGGCTTTTTCTCCAGACATGTCTAAGCCTAAATGCGGGGCCGGAGCGTGTCCCGTTGCGCCAAGCCGTACGTCCCTTACTCCTGGCAAGGACTGGCACAGGTGGATTTGTTTTCCATTCCAGGCTGGTATAAGCCGCTGAGCTTCAAAGAGGACGGACTTGGGCTCGACTATATCGATATAAAGACAGACTTATAGTGCAAACATTGCCACCAGTACATGAAACATTGCAGGGGTGGTTCTAGCCGCGGCAAACTGCAGTGATTGATTTGCGCCAGTTGCTCCGGCTTTTTCCTAAATTTCGCTACCCTATTATAAGCCCTATAAATTTCGCTACCCTAAACCATCTAAAACCCTAAGCCCCTAAACCCCCAAACCCTATACCCTATAAACCCTATATACCCTAAGCCCTATTACATGAATCCGTTTCATGCACCTCTCCACACGCCAGCTTTCTGAAGCGAAGACCTTGCTTCAGCTTACAGAGTTTGCCGGGTTCTATACCTAGTAGTCGAGTAGGTAGCCTTTAACCTTTTTTGGGTAGTATAGTCTCTATATAATCCCTATATAACCAAAAAGGTTAACCTTTAGTTCCCCATGATACCCGACAGGTAGGTATACCTCTCAAGTTAGGGTTTAGCGCTATTAGTTATTCGGGTTTAGGGTTTAGAGTTCTATACCACTCATGTAGAGGTTGGAACAACTACTACGATGCCTCTGTTAAGGGTACATTGGTTACTCTAGGTAACCATGTAGGGCTTACTAAACCCTAAGTTGTAAAAGCTTCGAAGTCTTGCGGTTACACGTTTGGGGCGTCTTCCGCTTAAAGTGGAACAGTTGGCCCGACAACTGGAAACCGCATGCCCGACTCAAAGCAAACTGCCGCGGCTTTAGGATTTTGAGGGTTTGAGGTTATATACGGTTGGGGGTATAAGTTATAAGTAGTTATTTCTGGATCCTGGCAGCTACGCTTTTATGGATCCGATTTTGTTGTAGGTGGATGTAAGAGCCTTTGCCTATGGTCCCCACTGTTCGGTTAAACCAAGTTATACAACCCAAAAAAAAAACAAAAAAAGTATTGCAATCGAGACTTTAGGTGGGGTCATAAAATTATGAAGTTTTTTGCTTGGGCAGCAAATGTGCTTCAGGGCTACGAAACCCTTAGATCCACTTGCAGAACCTCGTTCTTTTTAAAACCAAGCACAACAGCCGGTTGCGGGAACAGAGCATTAATTCGCCATTGCTTTTTGTGCTTGCACTAATTTCGCACACAGGTCCAGCAGTTGCCTCAAGTTGTTCGTGGCAGATGGGTTTGCTGGAACTTGAAGATTGATGTTTACACTGTGTACACATGCTATTAGTAAGCAGCAAGAGCACGAAATTGCAGCTGTATAGCCCGATTGCGACATCTGTACCGTCCTTTCTGGGAAAGTTCAAACAAATTCCGAGGCCCGATAAACGCTAAAGCCGAAACCCGTGGAGACTCATTTTTTGCAATTCTGGAATTCAGGATGCAATGGGAACGCCGGGGCCGCAATCTAAAGCCGTCGAGAGCTTGCCCGCTTTAGGTCGTGGGTTGGTGACTCACCTTCCAGGTCTGCCAGTGGGCCCTTTTTTCAGTGTTTGTGGTCCTGGGTTCTTTACAAAGCCACCCAATACCAAAAAACGGAGCCCTTCTTCTTCCTGTGTCGCTGGGGATGGTAGTCTTCCAAGGCAGCACGCCATTGAGAGGTTCCAGAAGGACAGCATGGGAAGGAAGCATTTTCTTCAACAGTGTTTGTGGTTCCAGGTTGTTGTTTGTGGCGTTGGCGTTTAAGAACGATGAGCCCCAGAGTTTATAGAATCCGCGTGGCATCCCAAAATTCGAAGTCTCATACCCGAAGCGCCAAGCCTGAACCCTGCAAATTCCGACAGCCTCGTCCAAAGCAGGCCGTTCTAAAGGAGTGCTTCAGGGATCCTTGTGTATGTTATGGAGCAAACTATTCGTCGCGCGGCAACCCTCAAACATGAACCTGAGGCCAGGTTGTCCTCCAATTAAGCCATGCTGCCGCTTGAGTTCTTTGCGGGGCTCGAGGTCTAAACCGAAAGCTTGGGTTTTCAGGACTTTAAGTCAAACCTTAAACTGTCATAGGAAGACACTTTGGACTCACGGGTGGAGCTGTCCATAGTGGTGAAGCCTCTCTTTTTGTCATCCTAGAGGACAGGCTTTATGGGGACTTGGATCACAGATACAGTAGAAGCCCAAAAGTTGGAAACCCAATAGCCTCAATCCTTAAGAGTAACGTATAGGCAATCCCAGCACTATTTAATCACTATTTGGCCTTAATCCGGTTTGCAACTTTATGGGATTTACTGTAAGGCTTGCACGATGGCATTCAGTAACCTACGGTCAAGACAGCAGAAGCTTCAGCTGCCAAAGCCCTTCTGCGGCTTAGGGTGGACTATAGTACTAGCGGCCTTCAGAATTACTTTTGCTATTTTGGAGATTCCTTATTCTATCTTCTAGTATGAGATACCCCAAAACCATATTCTAATTATGAAGGCCCCTATAGTACACAGTGGTAGGGTTTAGGGTTTTGGGTTCCGCGTGTTTGGGGTGTATATCAGGACCCCGAGCAGCTACTACACCAAACAGCTTAAATCATGAAACACTGGGAAGGGATTTAAAATACCATAATAGGGACCTAATGCAAATCATCATACAGTTTCCTTATCATGGTAACTTCAGTTATTCCTTTAACAAGAACCCAGAGCATGGCCCCTCCCCCTGGGACCCAACGCCAACGACTTCTGCCGATGCGTGACGCGACGAATGATGTTCATGGTCGTTCCTTCCGAATAAGACCCTCACATCTCAAAGCCAAAACACATCATCCCTAAACCCTCAACCCTAAACCCCAAAGTTCCGTAAAGAACCCCAAAGCGACGCAATTCACAGCCAGAGAGCTCTAAATCCCCATAGCCCGACGGCCCTATACGCCTAAACCCTCTCTGAAGAACGGGGCACCTGCCATCCTTCACAAAGCCGACGCCGGCGAAACGCGAGCTGCAAATATGATTCGCAAAGGGTCCATGTACCCATATGGGTATAGTTCTCGAATTAGGGTCTCTTTGGGAGTCCTTTTTGTTATCAGGGTGCGTTGAGTTCAGGATCCTTATGTGAGGAAAGGTTTCTGTTTCGGGTAATTGAGTACAAGGATGGTTTAGGTTCAGGATTTGGGGTGGGGGGGCGGGGTCAGGGTTTGGGGTTTGCGGTTTTTCGTTTGCAGAATCAACGGATAGATGGGTTGGAGTGAAGTGCAGCTTGCGTGGATCGTGTGTCAATGTTTGTTAGCCCTTTGCATTAAGCCTTTGCACGGAGCCCATGAACCGAAGCCCTTAACTTCCTAACTACTGCCTAAATCGCTGCCCCACACTCTCCAAACTAGAGTCAAGCCCTCCACCCCAAATACTAAAAACTCCATTTAAACCCTCAACACCCGACCGCCTAAACCTATGTTTTCTTGACAGATCGGTCGCCCCAAGAACTTCCCCAAACCCAACACAGGCATAGGGGGCCGACAGCCGCCCCAAGGACGGTTGCAACAGCGCTCACGTACCGAGGCCTTAAGTCTTTGAATAGGGTTTTTGGTATATCAAACTCTAAGCTATAATTAGGCCCTAAGACATGGCCTTCGTTCTTGTGGAGGCTTTCATGGGCTGCGTTCTGGCATCACAACATTGTATCATTGAGCTTGTGAACACAACTCACTAGCTTCAAAGTTCTTCAAAGTTATCTCGGGTTTTGGGGTTTTTGCGCTTGAGAGCCAAGAAACCCCAAACCCCTAAACCCCTAAACTCGAAACCCTCAAACCCTAAACCCAAACAGAGCCGAGGAGGAGGCCAGCATGAAGTTGCTTTTCGAGATATTGATGCTCGAGAAAAGCGCTGCTCGGTCGCCAGGGTGTCGTCTCGTGTCCTTGGAGGGTCATGGGACTTAGGATAGTAGTGTTAGAAGTACGCGAATTGCGGTTATAAGTGAACATAACTGTAGTTACCTTTCTTATAACCCTACTTACTACGTCTCATGATCCTGTAAGTCGTCGCCTCCGGTTTCTCTCGCACCACTGCTGTTGCGACCATGACTCAGCACCTTCTCACTGTCGTTCTGACAGCCACACTGTGAAGATCTGTGAAGTCTTACTTGGTCTTGGAGTGCGCGCACCCAAAGGCCCCAAAGTAGTTCCTTCATATATAGATTCTTAATAAGGTAATACCAAAAAGGAACAACTTTCGGGCCTATGGGCAAGGATGTCCAGCAAGCTGCGGCACGTCTCCCCTGCACGGATGACGGCTTTCCGGCCAGTCTGGTCAGGCACGTGGCTTTTTGACTGCTGCTTCAGAACCCTAAGGGGTCCATGTACTCAAACAGTATATACTTAGGCCTTAATGTAGTCCCTATATAGGTACATTGGGCCCAAAGTATATACTATTGTACATGGACCCTTGGGGCCGCTGAGCTTTACACACGGGGACTACCAAGTACGCAATTACGGAACTGCCATTTGTGCGGAGACTCGGCATGGATAAGCTGTTCGCTCCACGACAGGCAGAAGTAGGCCATCGTTGCAGCTAGAGAAAGCCAGCGCAGGGAGAGCGAGCGAGAGAGCCAGAGTGCGCGCGCATGTGTGTGTGTGTGTGTGTGTGTGTGTGTGTTTGTGTGTGTAGTGTGGGCGAGTGTGTGCGAGTGTGAGACAGAGAGAACGTTTCGTTGAGCCTTTTTTGACTCTGTTCATATAAAACCCAAGAGAATATTAGACATATCAGTTTTATGATGGTTCTAAGGGGGGTATAGAGCAAATATCTTGAGATCGTAAACCCCGCGGCTTAAGCCCTGCTCTCCAGACGTTCTTATACCGTAGACTACAAACCTTCACCCCGCAAAATGCGACTGAGCAGTATAGTTTCTAAGTTCGCAGCAATCATGCCTAACGTTCAAAGATGGATGTCGAAGCAACGCAAGCATCCTGGCTTTGACAGAGGTATGTAGATTTAATGAGAGTGCATTCGGCCATATTAATAGCAAGAGCCGTAAACCCGTCGCAAGTACAGCTCAGACCACCATAGTCCTTGTTGCCCATAGACAACTATAATCCCCATATAGAAGTAGTAGAGTCAGAGTTATATTGATGCATGCAAGCGAGGCGATTTCATGGAGTAGCCTCGGCAACTTCTGGTACGATGCTCACAACATTTGGTACCAACATCCCGTATGCAATTAGTACGACTATCACCCTCTCACTCCAAGCCGCAGCCCTACAACCCCGCTAGCTCAGTGGTGGACAGGGATCGCCTGAGGGACGTCACGAACAAAACGGTGGGCAGCTGCAAGGAACTGGCAGAGAATCCAGCCCGAACTTTACTCTTCAGCCGTAAACGGTAACGGAGGACGTGAACCCCTTCTGTTTTCGGGTTCGGGTTTGCGATTTCCTGGTTCACTCGGAGGCTGGCGTGTCCTCGCATTCCTCAAAAATATGTAGAGACATAGATTAATTATGGTGCTTGGTATGATAGGCGCCTACGTAACCCCAGAAAGCATGATACGAAGCTCCCTTTATTTACTGCTGCACTTGCGTAAAGATTTTGCGGTTCAAGATTTGTGATGTTGAGCACCACCCTAAGCCCTACAATCTAAACTTTAAGACTACATTCTCTAGAGCCGCTCCTCAACAGCTAAATGCTGGATCTTTCAGTTCGGATTTCGCTTGGGGTGCGGGCAACCATCATGGGGGATCATACTCTGGAGTCCCACATCCACATGGGAGTGTCCGAAAATAGGGGGTACCTGATTTTGGAGGGTCCTTATAATAAGGATCATTATATTGAGCGTCCCCCATTTTCGGAAACTCCCACATTCCAACAACACATAGAAACCGTTCAAAGAACTGATGAAGTCCCTGTACAATCTTGAGACGTCCCTCCCAATCGTGCCTTAGGGGTACTTAGAATAGTTTTTAATTTTTGGTTATTATAATCCCTAAGAAACAGCCAAAATCATAACTTTTGCTAGGGTTCTAAGTTCAGTATAGGTGCATTCACAGACCGAGGCAGACGTCCTTGTCGCTAGGCTACGGTAGTCGAGGGAAACGTATCTCAAATGCAGTAGAAATCTTCTTTGAAGTCTCATCCCGAAGTTCCAGCCGCTATAAGACTATAAGGGTGTGACAAGAGTTCTCGAAGAGGCCCTTAGGGGCTTTCTGTTTAGGGGGCTGTAGGGCTTCAGGGTTTTCAGGGCGATTTTCAAAGAACTGTCAAACCGTCGGTGCCCTGCCCGGCCTGATTGGATGCAACAGGTTCGGTCTCACAGAGCCCTTCCGGGGGGTGAGATGTGTAGCAGTGTAGGGCCGTCATTGAGCCATCTGGGGTATTGGGAAGATGGCGAACCCAAGATACCATACCACTGCTCTCGTGGTCTACGTAGCCCACCAAGGAAGCCCGATCTCTGCGCGGACATTAGCATGAACACCCTGCGCCTGGGTTGAAAGATGCTTGTTCCGATGCGCATAACCCACCCAGAGACTCCAATAGCCCTGAATTAGAGAATATTGGTTAAACCATTTTCGGGATCCTACTATACTTTAAGGTATATTCCGGTTATATCCCTTTATTATGGAACCCCCTATGATCCCTTCAAGAAAACTCTACGGTATATTCCTTGATTATAGGGGTATTGAAGTTTCTGGCAAATCCAAAAACGCAACTCTCCCAAGGCGACCTAAGGGCTTTCTTCTCCCGTGCTTGACATATGTATGTATTCACATAAACACATGTGTTGTTGTATGTCTCTCTGTCCGTATGTATGTTGGTATCCACATGTGCGTGTACATATATATATATATATATATATATATATACATACACATGTGTCTATGTGTGTGTGTACATGTGTATATATATACATACATATATATATATATATACATGTATATGTATATGTATATGTATATGTATATGTATATGTATATGTATATGTATATGTATATGTATATGTATATGTATATGTATATGTATATGTATATATATATATATATATATAGGGAGAAGTGTGTGTATGTTTGTGCACGTGTGTGGTTTGGTTTGGGTCATCGCCTTTCTGTCGTGTTGGAGTCTCGAAGTCGTTTCAATCAAGCTGCTGTAGAGACTGAATTTGATCACCGTGTTCTATGGCCACGTCCTACGAGCGTCTGGCAATGCTAGAGCCCAGAGACAGTCTTGGCGGAAGTTGTTCGAAACCTGTTACAGTCCGCTACAAAAACCTGAAAGCACAACGAAACACTGAAACGTTACATAAACTCAAACCCGAAGACCTTCAAATACCCTAAACCCTAAAACTCTGAACAAACCGAAGACCCCAAGAAACTTAAAGCCTCAAGCCCTAAATATCTCCAAACTCCAAAACCCCTACGCTTCGACCACTGCCGCTGCAATTTTGAGACTTCGGGTTTTCGGGGCACTTGAGGTCTTACGGTTGATGATATAAATCCTGCATGACCCATAACAAGGAATCTACCATAATTCCCATAGTCTAGAGTCATTAAGGTAATGCAGGATTTATATCCTCAACCGTAGGTGTGCAGATTTTGAGTTTCGGTTCTCGAGGCGAACATGCCTTAGAGGTCAAGGCTTGCAGGTTGTAGGACTAAGGTAGGCTATGGGTTTCGGTTTTCTGGCTCTAGCGGTTGAGTGTAGTATATCTTCCCTGAGTCCTAAACCCTAAACCCTGAGTTTTAAAGTCGATTAAAAGCCATGGTCTAGCTCTGCTGGACAGAGACCGCTCGAATTCACCGCTGAAGTTCAAAGCAACCTTACCTAGAGTCTCCATTGTAGTTGCTTACCTAGAGTCTCCATTGTAGTTGCTTTTGTTTGGTTAACCAGTTTTATGGTTGGGATCCTATAATAGAGATTTTGGTCAACCAAAAAAAGGAACTACAATGGAGACTAAAGGTATGCTCGTTACCCAGAGACTCCAATATCCCTTAATTAAGGAATATTCCTTAAATCATATTAGGGATCCTACTATAATTTAAGGGATATTCCTTAATTAAGGGATATTGGAGTCTCTGGGTAGCTTCCGGTTGGGAGTTTCAGAGAAGAAGGGACACAAACGAACCCAAGGTATAGACCAACCACAGTAGGATCCTTACTATCGGGGTCGGGAAAGATTACTACCCCCTCATAGTGTCATAATCCCATTGTAGTTATAATATCATGTGCCCCAAAACCATATTCTAATTAGAAAGGCCCTTTTGTGGAGAACGGGGCTCCCTGGACGCAGGCGATCCCTGTGCCCGCAAACCTGTGGTTGTGATGAGCCCATCGATGCTGCAGCTGCGGTTCCTTCGGCTTTTCTTGGCGTCCCAGCATTTAGGGCTCCGTGGGTTTCAGGGCCTAAGCTTGTCGAGTTTGCAGCTTTGTTTAAGTTTCAGAGGCTTTCGAGTGTGGATGTAAGTAAGATTTAGGGTTGTGGTATTATCATTTCACAGTTTTTGTTTACGAGTTTGGGATTCAGCCGGTTCAACTGCAGCCACACGGCGGAAGTAGTAGCAAAACGAAGGATGTCGCTTCTACAGGTTATCAAAGATCAATCACTCACAGCACGTACATATGCAAGATGGATTCAGCAACTGCGCGGTGCCCATGTAGCAAATTAGCGTGTTTCACGTGTGAGAGTGCTTTTAGTTTTCATGTTCGCACAGCAGTGACAATGCTAGCACGAATGACAACCGCACAGTGCATCGACACGCAGAGCAGGTGCACTGGGGCCGGCATCATCACGAGTGTCGCCACCACCTATAACAACTACGACAGTTAGAGCAGCATCCACAGGATAGGTAGGACTTGCAATTTTTCTTGCTGTTGTTACTACTGTTGCGATGACTATAACTGCTTTGCTTACTTTGATTCTACGAGTAAAGCTATCAATGATTGTTGTAATCATTGTTGTCAGTAGTCTCATGTGGGAGTTTCCGGAAATAGGGGACCCTAATGTAATACCCTAAAACTGTAGGATCTTTACTGTAAGGACCCCCAAATACGGTACCCCTAATTGCGGAAACTCTAAACCCCTAAAGCCGAAACCCTTTATAGAACCCTTATAGATCCCTTGACGGAACCTTTAAGATCCCATAAGGACCCCTTTAAAGGAACCCTTACGTACCCCTAATTTTCGGAAACTGTCATGCTAGTTTGGTAGGTACCGGCTGCCCAGAAGACCCGGGACATCCCTAGGGTTTAGGGTGTAGGGTTTAGGTTTTCGGGTTTAGAGTGTAGGGTTTACGGTTCAGGGTGTAGGGTTTAGGGTCAACCCTAAACCCTAAACCCTAAACCCTAGTGTTTCTTTGGCAACGAAGCGTAGCCTTGAAGCGGGCAAAGAGCGACAAGAAGTTTGTGTTTAAGAAGGGAAGACTTGCTTCTCACTGTTCCTCTTTACATCATTGTCCTTTTTGATATCGCCGATGGCTAACAATCATGCTGTCGTATACACAGGATCTTCAGTAACTATATAGTAGAAAGTGGGGTTTCTATCGCAGGAACTAGTGCTCCGTCGTGGGCAAGTTCCCTATTTATGTACTTAGGGCGCCGTGAGATTAGCTGCAGGTTCAAAGCCGACCACCCAAAGCACTGAAGCCTATGCAATTGAAAAGTCGCGTCGTCAAACCGTATAGTGCATAAGCCCTCAAGCCTCAGACACTGGCACAGTATTACTCTTACTACTATGAGTACTATGATTGCTATCATTGCTGTTAGTTCATTAATACCTGATTTTACTGTCAAGTATTACTCTGCCTGCTTTGGCAACCTAAACTCGAACTGTCAACCCTCAACTATTGTATCCGAAACCCTGACTAAGCCAGCCCTGAAAAGTGGAATTGACATCCAACCCTAAACGCTCAACCATCAACCCTAAACCCTTAACCGTCAACGCTTGAGCATCATTTTGAAGCCCGAGACTGTGAGGTCGCCGTGAAGTAGATCCGAAAGGCTCCATGTGGTAGTTTCCGAAAATAGGGGACCTTAATACAGTACCCTAAATAGTAGGATCCTTATATAAGGGACCCCAAAATAAGATACCCCTATTTTCGGAAACTCCCATGTACCTTTATAGTAGATACTTAAGGTTCTTTAAGGCCTAAGTATATACTATATGGGCACATGGAGCCTTAGGGGATACATTCTTGGAATTCGGTTCGTTGTTTTTTTCTCTTCTCGGATCTGAGGCATTCGCGACAGTTCCTTTTGGCTGTCCGAAAATGTGTATGCCACAGAGGCCCATATGGGAAATTTCTGGGATACACAGGAAGCGAGTACCACGGTGTCCGGCGTGTGTCGAGGGAAGGATGCAGATGTGGGTACATTAGCTTTGAGAGGTTGCTATTCTTGTTGTCATGGTCGTTCTGCGGCCAGGCCTATCCGTATTCTTGCGACCGTGGATGTCGTTGACTATCGCTGCCTCTTGTTGCATGTGTCATAGGTCCTAAATCACCTGCACAGGGTTTCGAAGCGAAGCGATGGTGTGGAGCCAACGGTTCGGATGATCTGGATTATTTCCGTGATGGCAGATATGTTTGTAGAGCTTAGTGACGTGGCAGTTGCAATATCATGAATAGTGTCACTGACAGTGTTGCAGCGACAACAACAACGACTGCTAATGATCATCATCGTCGTACAACTACCACGAGTACTAGTACAAGTACCAGTAAGACTCGATCTCGTACTACGGATTCTACTGCTACTCTGCCTCCTCCGCCTACTCCTACTCCGACCCAACTCCTCCTGCTCCTACTCCTGCTCCTACTCTTCCTAGTCGTGCTGCTGATGCTGCTGCTATCGCTGCGACCACCACTACTACTACTACTACTACTACTACTACTACTACTACTACTACTACTACTACGATCACTACTACGACGACTACTACTACTACTTCTCCTACTCCTGCTGCTGGTGCTGCTGCTCTTGCTTTTGTTTCTGCTGCTGCTATTTTTACGGCATTTGCGATTGCTACTGCTGCTACTTCTCGGTCGACAACGACGACATAACGCTAGTGACGCTTTTAATGCTGCTGCTACTTCCGGATCTTATGGAGGAGCCGTTTCTGACTTGTTATTGCTGCTGGTGCTGGTGCTGTTGCTGCTGCACTTCGTTGCTTTTTGCTGACTTCAAGCGTGCTTGCTGTTTTCTAGACACAGTGGAACAGCAGGGGTCGCGAGTCCCCGTGCACACGCAACACACACACACACACACACCTACATACCCAGTCTGAGCTGGCTGTCTTGCCATCATCTCTCTTCACGCTTCGAATTGTGCTTCGAAGTGTGCGCTCTTCGAGCAGGCATACGAAGCTTGCATGCAGAATCTCCACAGAAAGTCTTCAGAAGCTTGCATTCAGAATCTCCACAGAAAGTCTTCAGAAGAGATATGGTTGTTTTCAGCAGGTACGTTTTCACACTCACCATCGGAGGTCTTCGTTGGCCGCAGCTCCGATGGTAAGCCTGCGGCCCCCTGCACCTGCATTCTCGTATATGCATTACAGAACTGTCGGAGAAGATGTCTTCCTTAGAAACAGGAGTTCCACCCACACACACACACACCCACACACACACACACACACCCACACACGCACACACACGCACACACACACACACACACACAGACACACAGACATTGACACAGACACGGACACGCAATCACACACACAACAAGCATAAATGAAAAGCCGGCAGGGCGACTTCGCCGAAGATAAAGCGCGCGCCTTGTACGGCGCCTTGGCGGCCAATAGAGAATGATCTGATCATGCTGGCGCAAGGTTGACAGTTATTATAAGCCCTAAACCCATATAAACTCTATAAGCCACTTGGAACTAGCCTAAGTCCATTCCCCAGGTTCGGCATGCCAACCCCCAACTGCTGAGTTAGGGGATGCGGACGTCTTTGACGTTCAGGGGGATCAGCTCGAAGCTGCGTATGTGTCTTTCAAGATTTCAGACCATGGTTGTCTTTGGATCAGGGTCTCGTGTAGGATCCTATCACAACGTATTTCTCAGTGTTTAGATCAGTCTCTTGTTGGATCCTGTCACGGTATGGCTTTGAGCACTGAGGATGGTTGAGCTTAGAAAGGGCCCACACCTTTCAGCAATTCCGGTGTGAAGGCCTTGTGGTAACGAGGTACCAGGATCAGGCTTTGGTGTTTTCAAGCTGCTCATGTGGGAGTTTACGACAAATTAGGGGCCCAATTAGGCGGACCTTTTTTGGGGGTCCTTGTAATAAGGATCCCACTATTTAGGCTACTACATCATCGGGAACTCACATGTATGTCGTGGCAGGCCTAGGTGAATCCGCTCTACGCTTCGAGCTAGAATCTTCAGTTTGTATTCGAAACCCCACCCCAAACGCCTCAGATTCTAGGCCCTGAATGTTTAACCCTTTTTCGTATAACTCCAAGTCTAGCACGTTCGGGTCTTCAGAAATTTCTCCATGTCAGAGATTTGGAACACTGTTTCGGGTCTTCGTCGGCTTGGGCCACAGTGTCATTCGGCCGCAGGGTTGGGCTTCGGCTAGTTGAAGTTGCAGTGACATCGTATGCGCTTGACAGACGACGGTCTTGATCGAGTTTTGCTTGTTTCCTCCCAATTTTTTGGGGGAGCTGTTAATGCTTCAAGGTTTGTGGTTGTCGGTTTAGGTTTTACGGTTCACTATAACGACCCTCCACTCACATTGGACCCTGTCCCCAAGTACTATATACTTTGGCCCCAAAGTACTCACTGTTTGGCTACATGGACGCTGAAAGTTACCCTAAACCCCTCAAACCCTAAACCCACAACCCTAAACCCCTAAACCCTGAACCCCTAAAAGCCTCAGGACATGACCCCCGAGCAAATGGTTGCGAGCAGCTACATGAAGCGTTATTTTCATGGTCTCCATCAGCTGAAGCTCGGGAACGAGGATCCCCTCAAGTGTGTTTCATAGTTTCCACTCAGATAAAGTGGGGGGTCGGAATAGTGAGTGATACCCTTCCTCAGGGTATGTTGATAATTACATCCTTCGTGCATAAGTATAGGACAACATACCCCAAAATGCCTTGTTGGTTGTCAAGGCCCCTTTGTCACACCTGCCCACTCTGGCGTGCTCTTCCTCTGCTGCCCAATGGCCTTAATCAGTATAGGGTCTTGTGGGACAATTGCACCGGTGCAGCCCAAACTTCAAAATGGGTGTTTTCGAAAATGGTGGATTCCTTATTTGGGGTCCTTATAATAAGGATCCTACTATTTAGTTCACTATATTAGGGTCCCCTATTATGGGAAACTCCCAAATAGTTCAGACTCTAATGCACCTCAGACATCCCCAAATCTACCAAACCTTGCGCTTTCGGATAGACTTCGATACACCAAGATAGTTCATGCCGAGTTGCTAGCTGTTAGCGGGTCGTGGTAGTTTTGTTCGAAGTAGCAAGTGTTCAGAGCTGTTGGTAGGAAGTCCGGGACGATTTCGGCATTTTTTTGCATAGTAGCGGTAGTGTTGAGCAGGTTTGCACAGCTTTCGGCTGGTAGACCCGAGTAGGCTCCGAAGTTTATAGCCATTTTCGGGAAGCTCTGCTGCTGATTCCGGTGCACTTGGTTGAGAGCCTATTGATGGACTGAAATGTACTCATGTGCTAGTTACTAGTCCGCCTCCTTCTGTAAATCAAGCAGTGTTTGTTTTGCCAAGGACCGCCGAATCTTTCCGGAAGCTGCCGAAGCTTTCAGAAGACTGTCCGAACACCTCTCTGAAAACAACCCTCATGCTATAGATCAGCGCAGGCACCTATAGTGCAAGCTAGAATGCAGATTCTGCCTTGCCCTGGGCGCTTGTTGCCCTGCCTCTGATGTGCTGAAAGGTGCCCAAACACGTGCTGGACTCTGCTATAAATGCTGATTGCGATCCATGCCCATTGCGGGTCTTCGAGCCACTGTCTACAAAGCTCTACACTAGCCCTAGACCCTAAAGCCCCAAACCTTAAACCCTTGAACCTTTAGACTTCCTAGACCCTGAACCCAAAACCCTAAAGCTTTATTTCACCCGAAAGCCTCAACCCGGAAACCTTGGAGCCCTGTTCTGGGAGACCAGAGGAGATGGGGAACGCCAGCGCGAATGAGTACATGATGAGCTTGAACAGCAGCTACTACGAGCTTCTGCCTGCTCTTTGCTCTTTAATTCAGGCATTCGGGTTTGTGGCTGTATGGTTTAGGGTTTTGGGTTAAGGATGTTTGGTTTCGAGTTTAGGCGTTTGGGTTTGGGGTTTGGAAAGGTCAAACGTACATGTAGGACCTAGTTGGGGCTTGGCAGCAAAACAGGTGTTACAGTCGTGACATTGCTTATACATCTCCCTGTACCTATTAACACTTGAGCCCTAACCCCTCAACTCCCCCTTGAAACAAAAGGTACATGCTAAGACGCCTACCCGATACTCTGGGGCACAGCTCCACCATCCCTCTCTTTGGTTGAAGGCTAAGTAAGTTCTTGAAACTTCGAGGAGTTTATGTTTTAGCGTCTAGTGCTTGGGGAGCTACGCTTTCGGGTTCGAGGGTTGAGGGCTTTTGGATCGCCAACCTAAAACCCAAGCAGTCTAACACCCCAAACTAGGCAGGTAGATGCACCAACGTCGCTGCGCCTCATAGCCAACACCTATAACTCCCCGAGACCCGAAGAGCAGCACTAGAATATGTCGCCGCGGGTTCCAAGAAAACCCCAATGCCCTGCTTAAGCAATAGAAGGACTTAGAGGGATCCGTCAACACGGTTTTAAGGTATATGGGCCTGAAGCTAGGCTCTGGGTTCAGAGTTTAGGGTTGGGGGTTTAGACTGAAGGTTGTCGGGTGTCCAAGGTTAACTTTGTTTAGCCGGAACCTGAATCTATCCCGACACCAACGCGCGCAAACCCTGCCTGTTCCCCAAACCCCATTAGACCCAATCCTGCCGAAACCTAGCCTTGTAAACTCTAACGCCTAGACCCAACAAGCTAAACTGTAAATGCCCAAACCTCAAAACCCTGACTAAACCCAAAGCCCTGAAACCCTTGATTCCCCAGGGCCCCAACAAAACGGAGTCGCTTCTGAAAGCCGGAGAGTTCTACCGACTTGGTGCCTCGAGCTTGAGCAGGGTTTAGGAAGTGGGTTTTCGGTTTGGGGTTTAGGTGAGGGATGAAGTTCCAGGGTGCTGAAAGTCCTGTTGATGTTTAGGCTTGGGGGTGCAGGACTTCAAGGTTTTGGAATTTATCGTTTTAGGGTTTTTAGAGCGCTTGAGGCTTAGAGTCAGAGTTTTCTGTCTGGGCTTTGAGGGTTTTCGGGTCGAGGGTGGGAGCTTCTGGGGATGCAGTTTTTGGATTTGGGGTGTAGGGTTTAGGGTGCAGGGTTTAGGGTTTAGGGAGGATTCAGGGCGTATTAGGATTCTTAGGGTCTATGTTTGTGGACGTTCCGTGCAAAACAACGAACAACACAGACAAGTTTTGGAGGCCCACCAACAGACAGAGGGTTGTTGAGAAGGCCAGGCCAAATGTTTATTTCACTTGTACTGAGACAGCTTAGTGTAATGGAGGTGTGTTGAATGTAATGAAATGTGGGTCTCATTTCCCCAGTTCGCCGTGCTTTTGTTTCGTTGCGAGAGTTCCTCTTCCTTGCTGCATTCATGCTTATAACCCCTAAACCCTAAACCCTAAACCCAAACTATAAAAGGACCGCGGCAAATTTGAAGCCCAACGGCCCATACCCGAATCAAACAGAGGTGCGATCCCGAAGTCCTAAACAACTACTTAAAGGATCATGATCATAGGACTTAGTGATTGGGGTTATAAGTAAGGTAAGTACAGTTATACTTACTTATAACGCCAATTAAGGTACTTATAACCCTACTTAAACTAATAAGTCCCATGATCCTCCAAGTACTGTAGGACCCAGAGTAGGCCCTTATTCCCTTTTCTAGGGTTCAAGTTCCCTTACAAGCCCGTTTAAACCAAAAAGGGCACCCTTTTTATTCTTAGGTTACTCCACGGGTCCAAGTACCTAATAGTCATATATACTCTCCAAAATCCTAACCTACATAACTATTATCCGAAACCTAAGTACCTAATTATTGGGTCCATTAGACCCTTGGGGTTACTCTTGGGTCTAGACAACGACCACGTCCTCTACGAGTCCGCTGTGGGGTTCGAGGGTCTGGGTGTCACAGCCGGGAGATGGCAGAGCTCGATCACACCAACCTCATGCAACTGTTGGGGTTTAGGGTTTGGGGTTTAGGGGTTAGGGTTATAGAGTTTAGGGTTAGGGTTTAGGGCTTAGGGTCTAAACTTTAGGTTCTAGGGGTGTATGAGCTCCGACAACGAAGGATGCCTGAGCATGTGCTGCATCGACCATTTGCAGGTTCATGGGTAGTTATAGGTGGAGTTATAAGTCCCTTAAGCTGGGTGATAACTATGGTTAATCACCCTACTTATATAAGCCCATTTATAACTATCATGAAGTGCCGAAGCAGGAGCAGCTGCGTGGCCCCCAGTCTCGGTAGGCCTGCGCTGCATACTACGATGCACGGGCGAGCTCGAAGAACTGCTTCAGTTCCTACAGAAGCTGCTGAGCATCAGAAGACTGTCTGGTTCTTAGTAGGGAATGGGGGAATGAGCTATTGGGGAATATATAGGGACTACTATAGGGGTCCACTCTCCCATTCCATACTAAGAGCCAGGCCGAAGATGAGATCAAGCAGCTCAATTCCAAGCTTCCAGCTACCCCTAAGGGTCCATGTACCCTAAGAGGGCCCCAAAGTAGTTCCTTTTGGGGGGTTCATATATAGATTCTTATAAGGTAATAGCTAAAAGGAACGACTTTGGGGCCATATACCCAAAGGGTCCATGTAACCTAAGAGTATATACTTTGTTTGGGCCCAATGTACCCATACAGGGAGGCGGCCTAAGTATATACTCTTTGAGTACATGGACCCTTAGGGTACTTCCCGATCGTGACAGCCCCTCGCTCCGGCATGGTCCAGCAGAAGATCTTCCACCGAGGGTTTAGGGTTTAGGGTTTAGGGTTTTGAATGTTTCAGGTTTGCGACTGGAGGGGCAAGTTGTAGGTTGGAGCGGAAAGGAAGTACTCGTATCTCAACATTCTGTCCGGCTCCCACACCACCAGCTAGGTGGACGATGGCTAAAGCTACCTTTACCTCACAATCTATACATCGACCTGTAAGAAACATCTGATCAATTACTGTCGGGCTTTGCGCTAGGTGCATGAAAACAGGCCGGCTAGTTTCCCGGGTCCTTGAAAGTTGACAGCCTACGTGCAAAAACGGGTTAGGGTACCCCCCGACTTCTGTTTGGGGTTGTGAAATTTCCCTGTCTTGAAGCGCCGTGTTGACATGTCCTCATGCGTGAATAGTTTTTGAGACAGTTCTGAACGCATCCTGTACGACAGACGTCTTGGGCTCAGACCAAAAAGTGCGCTCGTTGTGTGGTTGGACACTCACTAATCCAGTTCCTGCTTCAAACTGGTAGCGGAGCTGTGAGGACAACCACTAGTGTTTCACCCCCGTAGAGCCTGTGGTCCGGGGTCCGTTGGGTAGAGTAGTGATAGTCGCGGCGCAAAGGCCCCTTCTATCTGAAGCCATGAGCGTGGCAGGTTTGCGTTACCAGCCCAATCTCTGGTCACAGAACCTGAGCCCTGCAGAAACGAAAAGCGGTTCGTACATATACGACGGTACGGCTGCTGGCTTCCACGATTGGTGCTTCCGGACACAGATCCGTGTGCTGCAACATAAGGAGAAGCAGCGGCGTGAAGCTCTTAAGGACCTGCGATTTGCCGAGTCGGCAAGGGCCAAGAGCGAGTCACCAAGGAAGTGGCGTGGCAGGGCAAGTCAGGGGACCAGCGCATCGCCCACAGATGGTGATGGAAGCAGCGGTATACCCGCCAGTCCGTCCAGCGCAAAACGGACTAAGCCCGCGTCCGAGGCAGAAGATGAGGATGCGGAGTCGTTGCCGTCGCACCCCAGCCAAGTGGCGGGCGACGATGAGCAGGAGCCGGACACAGATCCGGCGGTGTACACCTTGCAAGACATTAAGGACGAGTCGCTTGATATGAGCGAATGCGTTAGCAAGATTTTGGAGGGTCTCCGAGGAGACGCCTTTTGCATTGCTCGCGACGTCGGCCTGGAACGTCTGCTACGCCATGATGGCGTCGACTACCTGATAGAAGAAATCAGGAGGCAAGCTTTCCCTCTTCAATCTGAAGAGGCGTCCGAACTTTTCCGTCAGGGACAGCTCCTGACGGGCCCACTCGCAAAGCAGCCCGGCGAGCCTATGTTGTCTTACATAGCCCGCCGAAAGCGGTGGTGGTCGACCTTGCGTGAGCTAGATCCTGATATCCGCCTTTCTGAAGCAATGAGGGCTAACCTCCTTGTTGAGCTTTCAGGGTTGGAAAGGAACGAACAGCTAATGGTCAAGACCGCCGCCCGCGTACACACCGTGGATGAGTACGCACGCGTCCTTGTTCAGCATCACTCAGTGGTGCACATGAAGGAACGTCTTCTTACCCAGAAGGACCCTAGTGGCCCAGGTAAGACCTGGAGACGTTTCGACGCTAAGCCACAATACCCTAAGTTTGGTTACATGGGGTATGATGGTAGTGCCGCAGAGTATGGTCACCAGGAACAGCAGGAATCCGCGGAAGGCTACGGTGACGGCTACGGCGAGGAAGCATACCAGGCCACAGCGTCTGGGGGAGATGATGCGGATGAATGGATTGATGATGAAGACCTAGCATTGCAACTCAACGCCTATACGGCAGTGGCATATGAAGCTGAAATTGACGATTTGGATGATTCCTATGCCGAGTCAGTTCAGCTTGCGTACGCGGCACAGACCGCCTTTTCCCAGGCGAAGGGAAAAGGAAAAGGGAAGAACAAGGGCAAGTCCTCCGGAAAATCCGGAGGGAAGGTCGTGCGTAGCAATTTGACTATTGCTGATCGTAAGGCCAAGTTGGCAGAGCTTAAGGCAAAGAGTAGGTGCCTGAAGTGCGGCGTGATCGGCCATTGGGCCGGAGATGCTGCCTGCAAGTTTAGCGGTAAGGGCAACGGCCCCAAGGGCACCACAACCTCAGCACAGTCTGGGGGAACTGCCAACGCAGCCGCAAAGCCGGCGGCGCCGAAGCCCCAGG